AGAAATAAAAGTACATACCCTAATTATATCAACGAGTTCAAGAAGTCTGTCATGTGATATGATACAATGGAACCTCGATATAACGAAGGGCCAAGGGACTTGCATAAAATATGTTCGTAATAACGAGGTTTTCGTTTTATCGACTCACGGAGGTTCTTAACTTTTTCGTCATATAATTTACTATTACTGGCGCCAGGAATTATCATTCGTTATACCGAAGACTTCGTTATATGGAGGTCGCTAAATCGAGATTCCACCGTAGCTCTAGCTTCTAAAGCTATGAAACACTTTGGATTCTACAGAATTGAAAACGAGAAGTTTCGCTTTGCCTTCCCTATTCAGTCAATATGTAACCAGAGTTAGTAGAAATTGGCACCTGCGATTGCATGTTGTTACTCTTGGGGTCGGCTACAACGATTGACAAGACAGAACAAGGCTGAAAGCCACTTTTTTCCATTAAGCACACCGCCGTAGCTCGGACGCGGCCCGCCCAATGTTAGGCTAGGAGATCATAGGTTTGAATCCTGCTAGAGGGTTCAGGATTTGTTCTGTCTCATGCACGTGATATGAACTTTAGTACATAATAATTATAGTTTTTTCTTTCACTACTGTGCTTAAAAAAAACTTCCTTCTGTTATTCATTACTACAGGTTTCCAGGGGTCTTTTAAGAGATGTGTCGCCTTACCAGTGCTACAGCCTTGTTTCCAAACATGAGGTTAGAGAAAACTTCGTTACCATCCTGGTCAGCAAACATTCTGTGAGGTGCGTTTGGTAAAAAACCACCATATTCCAGAATGGGGTACGTGGTGGCCGCGTGACGACCAGTAAACGCCCACATTAGTGTGGTCAGAACTTTCCGTAATGTAGCTTTGCTTTCTATAATTGCTGGGAATTTCTGAACCTTAGTGGGGGTAAAGGCACATAAGCACGATAAACTTTATTTGTAATTTATAGCCTTCTCTGAATAATGGTTAAATATTAATGCCCCTGAACTATCTAAGGAATAATCTGTCACTATTCTGTCTGAGATCTCAACAGGTTTTCCACAAAATTTCGTTACAAACAACTAGACCAAAATCTTTCAATCTCAATATGGTAATATTGTTAGTTTTTTTTTGCAGAATAATAGACGACGAATAAAAGGGATGTTTCTTGGTGTCGAGGAAACTATTGTTTGGTTCACTTCTAGTTTTGTGGATATGGTCCGTGTCCTTTCAGTCTTTTGTCATACGTCATTTGGTGATGGCACCCGCAAGAAACTATGGGATAAGGAAAGTTGTCTCTAAGGGTTTATGTGTTGTCATCGATGATCGCATTGTAGTTGTAGAACACGGTCGGCTATGTATGAAGGCTTAATTGAAATGTCTACAGCTATTTCGAGAAAGGTTGTCGGAAAAGAAATGTGCACGCGAAAATCCCGAAAGGTAATATGGGATATGATCAATACACTGTTCCAGTCACTGTAAGCGTAGCTGTCGAACCTACTTTTAGTTATTTCCTTTAGCACTCGCAGACATTGTCCATGTCACCTCTCGTGCCATTTTTTCTATTTCTTTAACGAAATGCTTCAGGATTGTCTGGTGCACTTTTTCAAACAACCTTTCTCGAAATAGCTGTATACTGTATGCTAGAAAAGCACTCAACTGAATACACTTCTACCATAACAGATAAGATTGCTTTGTGAAGTGTCTCACCATGCCCATTCCCCCGAAGTCTCCTGTTCCATTAGCTGATAGTTCATTGACAAGTTCTTGCAGTTCGTTGTCCGATTCCACTTCTTGGTCGTCTTCATAGTACCTAGGGCGTAATATCACACTCAAACATTTTAGCTAGGTCTACCCGTGAAGCAAATTAAAAGAAAAAAACAACAACAACAAAACACTTTCTTAGACTCGAAGACCTCTAAAACTTATAAAGCCGAAATACTTCAACGTCTAAATTAAAAAAGTCAAACGTCGAATGTGCCCAACAAGACATTACCCGTTTTTATACTAAGAGTCTTTAAGCCACTTTCTGTAAAAATAGTACGCATAATAGTAGAAAATCTCATTAAAATAAAAAACAGATTGCACGTTGCTTCGATTTCACCTCTAAAACAATGACTCGTCCCAGTCTACTTGATAGGTTTGACGAGCTGCGCGCACATAAGTGCTTTCCAGTCAGTAGGAAGTCCCGTTCTTATACTAGACTCGCTTAACGTCTAAAACGTTAAAGTCATCAGATCTTAAATACCTCTGTCTCATTTACCGTTTTTTATTCTAAGACGACTTTAAGGCCAAATAAATACTGATTCTTAATTCCCAACTACTGAAACAACCCATTCTTCTTAAGACGACTTTAAGCCGGCATAAAAACGGCCACGTTTGCGTTATTGATTGATTGATCTGCATGGCATACAGAAAAGAAAACTGACATCTTTGTCCTGAATGGAGGGTTAAAGGAATTCGGTACAAAAACATAATCATAGCCTGCGTGGCCTCGCACCCTAATTCCCTTCCCCTTCCCTTTCGAACGCCTGCCACGCAGGCTAACATAATCATAGAATTATAGTGGTATTTCGATTTGTATACACATTTTATTTCATCTCGGTGGCAACCCAATTTCACTTTACACTACGCGTATAAGAGAACCGAACGATAGTACTATTCTATCTACTTACGCATCAACATAGGCATCTACAAAATCGTCCAACTTTGCATACAAAAGAAGGCCATCGTCTCTGTAAGGATAAAATGGCAGCTTTTCCCGGTCATCCACCCCACGTTTCTGTTTAAAGGAAAATGATATACGTGTCAAATTCAAATTGACTTTTTTAATTCCTTAGGAATCAACCTATACTGTGATAATCGCCGTGTGTCATGGCTAGGACATAGAAACAACTCGTTTACCATACATGATTGGAACTTATGATCTTCCAAAACACCGGTGCATGGGTGGCTTATCAACTGCATCGATCTTGGAAGAGAAGCATATGAGAGCATGCGATGCTCAAGGCCAGTTATTGCTTCGCAGAATGTGTTAACGGGCAGTCATCTTTTTTTAAAACTTTGTTTTTTAAAGTTTCCTTTTTTAGCCTGAATAACTTTATTATGTTTTATGAGCTGATTACAGTCTAACATTACAGCACATTTGTTGTCCTTAACACGCAATTTTATATTACGTGCATTGTTGCTGCTTTCTTTGCAAGCACGTTTTTGTGAACTGTATCAATATACATTTTTTATATGTATATTTACTTTGAGTACATAGGCAGTGCTAGTTGTTAATTGCGGGCGACAAGAGGAGCCCGTAATCCTAATCTACAGGATGCTATTACCCATGCCCAGCACGTATGTAGCTAGCCTCCCACGCGGGCGTTTTTAGGGGACCTCGTTTTCTGTCCCTCCCCACACACGCCTGCTCAACCGAAGACATCACGCGTATTTTGACCCTCTATCACGTGAAGCACCCATCACATCGTTGGATGTCGCCCTTAGTTATTACTAGTATAAAGCATACTATCTTTTACTTTTACCAATTAACATAGACTCAGAAAGTAATAGACCGCTAACAGAAGATGAAAGCTAACCTTCAAGTCTTTTTTCAAGTCCAAGTCGTCAAATATCATATTCTCGTACTCTTTATTAAGCATTTCTAAGGCACTGGAATAGTCAACACTTAGAACTTTGTAAACTGGGGCGCTTTTACCTGGTTACAAGGAAAGAGAGAGAAAAAAGTACGATAAAATCGTATCAATGACGAACTGTTTATTTCAAAAATTACTGTTATGTTCAATCATATCGATGAAATTCCTTTGCAACGTTTAACAAATGAAATATCAGATCGGTTGTAATTTAAACTGATGCAGCACGTGTAAGGGGAAGAGTGGGGGGTTTTCAAGAAGTTTTGTCACCGTGGCTTTTATTCCCCAGATACATTATTGTGAACTTTGGAAAGAGTCGGCTGCTCATTTTTATAGGATATTAAACTATTTTTAAGCAAAAAAAAGCGCTTACTTTTTGTTTCAAAAGCGACAGAATATTTATTTGTAGAAATAGATTTAAAAAAAAGTGACACAAATCTGACTTTTACGTCAAAAGTTCCACGTACCGCCAAATCCAATATAGTTCTCATTATCTTGTAAAGGTCATCCCAGTTATTTATTATTACTATAATAATAATAATAATAATAATAATGATGATAATGATAATAATAATAATAATAATAATAATAATAATAACAATATTAATAATAATAAAACGGTGGAAGCATGGATTTGCTTCTACGTAAGTTGAACTTAATCTCCTGATTTGTGCTTGATGCGATTGCCGATAAGATTTAACTCATTATGCCCAGTCAGTTGAACGAACTTGGTTTTAAGAGATCGCTCTTAAACTTTCACTTTTAAAGGTTTATCATCGTCCCTTAGTATATGCCACGGAGGGGCAAGGCCTGTGACATGCATGTATTATTAAATAACATGCTTCATTATTAAAGGATTCAAAGAAAAGCTAATAAGGCGTTGAAAAACAGAAAGATCTTACCGAATAACTTTATTTCAAACAGCTTATTGGTTTCCAAGGCTGCCCGGCAGTGCTGTCTTAAAAGCTGATAAACAGGGTGATATTCAGAGAAGTATTTTTCCGACAGAGTACAAGGTGCATCTAAGTAGAGATGAGTCTTGAGACGTTTCTCTATCAAGTGAAGAGCGTTGAAATCGGCTCTTTGCACAAACGATTTAGCGAGGAACCAGTTTTTACCGTCCAACGGAGTGTAGACTTTAGAATCTGGTGTATAGTCCATCTGAATTGCAACAGGATTAAGGCGTTTTATACCAAGCTCAGCTTCGCTAACAACAAAAAATGCTATCGGTGACGTCATTTGTACAACGGTATGATTAAACTTGACATCATGTAGTAACGCCTGCGGCATCTTTACGCCATCCAGCGCGGGGTAAATGTTAACATAAACCTGTCCATTTTCAATGGCCTAGAAAATAAAAGAAAGAAAGTTCTACTGCAAGTTTTCATTATACTGTATTTCTTGTGAACCATGCGAGCAAGAAAACAACACCAAAAATACAAAGATTTTATTACTTCAATGATACGTGATTTTAAATAAGATCTTGATCTTTTAATCGATTACATTTCATATCTGCCAAAGCTAAAGGCTAACGAGGATCTACGTAATTCTTAATATCATTTAAGTATCCTTTGAGTAACTGAAAACTCAATAAAATGATTGAATGAGTTGAATGAGTGAATGAATGAATGTTTAACAAATAATTCACATCCTTTTTGTCTTGCCAGCTATAAGTCTCAAAGTCTCATGCAATCGCTACTTAATTTAACCCTTGTGTGGACCAGCACTTCCATTAACGTGAAATTTATTGCTCTTGAGAAATAAATTTATCACCACCAAGATAAAATGAATATTTACAGTCAAACCAGGTCAAGCGTACCCCCAAAGAATCCACTAATGAATTCATTATTCGAAAGTTGAATCCGTTCCCAGTTGTAGATTTCAGATTGATCTCTGCATTTTTGCATGCATAAATGAGCCGTGAATTCACACGCGAGGCAGTTATGCAATTTCTACCAGCTGAGTTTTCCCGAATTTGATGTAAATGTCTTCTAAGAAACTTAATCCATCCAAAGATTTTCAATCTGACCAAATACAGAGAAGTTCTCGTAAAATATTCACTGCCCATTAACCAGTTACAGGAACGAGTAACCATTCATTTTTCAAATAATAAATTCATTAATATAATCTTGGGGAGGGGGGTACGCTTGACCTGCCTTGACTGTAAACCATTTGTTCTGCAAACCTTTTCTAAAGCGTCTTTGTCTCCTGTGCCAAGAGCCGCCTCAAATGTTTCGGCCCATTTGAAGTCCTTATTCAGTTTCTCATCAAAAAGATCGTGCCACTGAATACCATTTTCTCCTGAAAATGAAATAAGAGAGTTTCAGAGTTCAATTGATCGGCAAGCAATAAACAAACTAGCAACAGTTACATTTCTTGGGTTGTAGTGATTTTTGACACTCTTCATTTGAAGGTTGACTGACTTTGCTGCTTAATAAACCAGAAAATAGAGAGGAGAAGTTTGACGTCACATCATGTTCATGGAAGCAAAATTTCTGAATCTCAAAAATCCTTGACAGAGACGGCATTTCTCATTGTCAAACGATGGAAGAAAAGTATAGGCTACCGTGTTGTTCCTGAGTGCAATCATGCACAGAGGAAGTCATACAAACCATTTTTTGTTTTTTAGCCGGCATATCTTCAGGACTGCGGTTGTTGAGATCCGGAAATTTTGCTACCACGGCAAGGTGACGTAACGACTTCTCCTCTCTATTAAGCGGGTTCTTTTACTTTGATCACGATTCAGACACCAGATTGCGATTATTTTGATAAAGATGTTGGCCACTGCAGCTATAATATTTATATCCTCACCTTCGTTATTTGTCACTCGCCATAGCTGGAATGGATTAGCTCCTGCAACCCGCTGATCTGCAAAACAGCGGTCCTTGAAAAAGTTCTCTTCGACTGCAGGAACGAGTTTCAAGGCACTCATAGCACTGCGTTTCTAAAGAAATTTGATTTCATCAAAAGCGGGTTGTCGGGTTTCAGATGACTTAATCCCACAAGGCTCCATACTAGGTCCCGTACTGTTCATCATCTATATTGATGGCCTAATTTTAAACTCAGTTACTCACAGATAAGTCTCATGTTAGCTAAACTTAAAGAATTAATAATGTAAGAAAGAGTTTGTTAGGCAAAATTAAAGAGAAGCAACAATTTTTAAATGTAAAGAATTCAAAATAGTAAAAAGAACAGTAAGAGAGATTCAACGCCTGAGAAGGTATCTAATTCTACGGTATAGAATCGACAAATATTTCAATGTCGTGACAACGACAACAACTTTAATGAAGTAGCTATTGTGTGTATAAATCTCAAACATGAGACTGAGTTCAAGCTATGCCACGAAAAACCAGATAGTTACCCTGTGATGCTTGTAGAAGGCCTCAAACACTACTGCAAAGTCAATCAAAGTTGGTGTTTCGTGGAAACGAGGATCTTTGAGAGTAAAGTGTGACTCAAGATCTTTGTTGATGTCAGCGTTGTCTGTCATTTTCATATACCACTCTATGGTGAATGGATCCGTAGACGCACTTTGAACAAAGCTTGCTGCGCCTTTCTTTGACAAGGTTGGCACCATCAGATCATCTGACCTGCTTAAGGAAATCACATTAAAGCACGACTACCAATAAATGCTCATCAGAGTGAAAATGCACTAGCGGGTAGTCAAGCTTGAGCATTTCTTTGCCATCTTGGGAAGACTAAAAACATGAAACTTATCTTCACACATTATAGAGGACGTGAACACAAGACATTTTACAAATTTTGTTGCAAAAGGTAGAACCTCTCTCTACTTTCTGGAACAAATTTTCGCAACTTGTAACAACCCTAATTGTTGCAAGACTGGTGTGATTTATACTCCTGTTCCAAGCACTCAGACGGGAAGACACAAAAGTGAAAGAAGTGGTGGTGGGGGTGGCGGGGGGAGGGGGGTTGTTGGTGAAGGAACAAGGAAGAGCAAAGAAAGAGAGAGTCTGTAATAATTTCTTTTATGAGCCCCCCCCCATTTGATTTTGGCTGTCAAGCATTTCAAATGTCCGGTGATGAGTGGCTAATCCCTTCCGGGTGTAAAAATGGGGTCGGTAGGCAACACACTACTATTGAAATTTTTTTTCTTTGTTAGGTAGATTGTACTCTAGAGGCAGGTCTTGTGTTCCTTCCTCAACGTTCCTATGCGCAGGAAATCTGGTAAATACGTTCGTTGAACATAGGGGTTATCCAGGATTTCTCTATTTCACGCGTGTGGAACGCCGCTGCACGCCATCTCTCTGAGAGACAGAAACGAACGCATTGAGAAGTGTTGATGTAACCTGTCAGATCCGACCAATCAGAGGGTATACCAGAAGCTAGTATACCGGTACAAGCCGTTTAAAGAAATGATTACAGGCTCTGCCACCCTTCCTCTTACCAGTTTCTTCCCGTTTTATTTTCATGTTCGTGCTTTTCTCAATACCCGAGGACCCGACTATCTCGGAACCTGGAACAAGCTTTTCGATTCGTTTTTCAGCGTTTTAAAATAGTCCGAATTCATTTTTTAAGTGAGGAGTTTTTGCAGCCGCCTTTGACATGGTTGCTTAACCTCTCCATAATATAATTATGAGTATTGTACTGCTGAGACCATCAAACCAATAGCCTTCTGCTATATTGGTTTTTATCCTTTTCGTACAAATAAATTCCATAAGCTCTTGCAAAAAGGTGCAATCTTGAGGATTCGACCTTCCCCCGACCCGCTCTGCCTCCTCCGCCCTCAACCGACTCGTTGTATCCTTCTACGTTGGTATCTGAGCTTGATACTAAAAGCAAGCAACACCTTGCCTGGCCTGGATACTTTTGCCTGCCTTTCGTGTTGTTAGATTAGAGAGGTCAAGCATCTTGTTTACAGCAGACGGCAATCGGGAAACAGGAAACAGATCGAGATGCTCAAACGATTGCTAATGTATTCGAGAACGATAGACGTTCTCTCAAGCTACGTTTTTCATAAACTTAACGTGAAAGTGCTGTTGTAAAAGGGTAACGACAAAAGAAAAGCGTAGAATAAACAGAGGAAGAAGTTGTCACATTACAGGTGAAGCTTATGCAAAGCTTAAAACTCTACTCCCGACCACCTACTTGGAATAACGGTTGTCCGATGCAGAAGTCAGTCTTATAAGTGTTTTCTTGATGTGCCTACTAAGTTCTCTCTTTATGAGGCACTGAGGTGACGAAAAGCGTGGAAGTGTTATTCGGCACTTGAGTTCTGTTGGCAAAAATTAAGAAGAAATACTGGTGTCAAGATATCGCCAGGTCAACGTTCTCTACCTTGACTTAACTTTGGTCGAGAAATGTCACACGAATGTACCAATGTAAGTGTAAAATATAGGTCGTTTTTTGCTGCCATCGACACAATTTCACTTTTTAACAAAGGTTAAAAAAGCTTTGCCACAAAGTTTACAAATGCCCCAGAAACTCACGATCAACGTTTGGCGAGCAGGCAATGTTTGATTGGACCTGTCATCCTTCTAGAGTTCTTTTGATTCTGGTTATGCTTGCTATTAGAGCCATACTACCCACCTCCACAGGTAATTCCACCAAAGTCATCGGCGCACTCGCAGACGTAGCCGTCAATATAATTGTAGTTACTCACACACGTGCCCCCGTTTCTGCAGGGGTTAGGGTCGCATTTGTCGTCATCCTCAGGGTTTATCGTCACAACTTGAGATAATTCCGATGACTCCTTACCTTCATTGCCTGATAACTCACCGCTTGCACTTTCATCCTCTGTGAAAAAATGTCAGCAGACAAAGGTAAAAGTATAGAAGACAACTGTTATTTCAAAACTGAAGTTGAACATTTCCTTCCAAACTCATGCCAGCCCTCTGAGGCTTGGACGATGCATTCACACACAAAAGACGCTTAGCGTGATGATCAGATAATTCGGCTCTATTGATCGTAATTTCTCAGCCATAGTTAATATAAAAGTTAATTCCATATCGCAGGAATAATGTCGACCCTAAATTGGCAATACTAACAATTGAAATCGAGTAGGATAATGCAATTCTAGATCTCCGATTGGCTTATTCATCATGCTATATGAGCCACTGCATTAGACCATGTTCTCCAAATCTGTTAGCGTCTGCTCAAAACAAACAAGCTGAAAATCGGTACCACAGTTACCAACTGTAGCACACACTACCAACTCCGCAAGCGCAGTTTGAGAGCGCAGTATGGCCAGTACCTTAAGCATGTGCACAGCCTTATTACCCCGGCAGTGGTAGCCATGGACAGCTGTTTCGTCCTTGTTAGCAGTCATCAGCATGGCATTTCCAGCATGGTCTCACTTACGATTACCGACCCTGCCTTGCTGCCGAGGCGAGCGCTAAAGCTCCACCGTACAAATAAAGTTGGTATAAAGTTGCCCTTTGACCAACGTGTAAAAATTTATGCCATTAGAGAATATTAGCCTAGGTTGAGTTTAAGGTGGTTTGGAAAGAGGTGCTTTAAACAGCATTATGAAGTGGGTTTAATATTTAACGATTCCCAAATATGGACACTCAGGGGCGTGTCATTCAAAGTAAAATCATTCGAACAAATTAAACGTAGAATTTATACTAATAACGTTGGTTAAATCAAACAAGTAAATAAATCTGATCCAGCAACAGTTTATTGGCGCTTTTGTCTACAGGCCTTTAAACCAGACTCCATGAATAGTGCGCGATGAAGGACGTCCTGAGATACCGTAAACTGCTGCTTACAAGCTCCTCCCCTCGCACTTATAAACCCCCCACTCCCACCCCCGTTGAGGCCCATCTACCTATAAACCCCGGATATAAACCCCCCTCTAGGTTCTTCTATAGCTATTGTTGAAATGAATTCTATTTATTATGACATTCTGAACCAGTAAATGCAGAACGTTTTTTGATCAACGCTTGTTTCAAAGCGCTCTTTTTATTCCGGTTAAAATCCCCCACAGATATAAGCCCCTCCATTTGTAAGCGCTCCTAAAAACCCCCTTAAGAATTTGTATGAGACCTGAGGGCTTACAAACGGCAGTTTACGGATTCAATTTGTTCGGTACCTAACTTTCCTTTCTCTCTGCTGCAAATAGGAAAATTCGGATCTTACATTTGAAATTTGAGGACAGAAAATGACTCAAAGGCATTTTGTTATAAGAGTAATTTGCTAAGACTTATTAAATATATAAAACTGCCAAGCGCCTTGATTAACTTAGAACTGTCAGTGGTTGAAATACTAGTTAAAATATTATTTTATCTTTTTTTTTCCTATTTTGCCTTGTGTTATAGGACCTCATTTCGAAGTGTTAATGTTAATCTCCAATTAGGACTGATATTTGTCACTGAGCTTAAAGATTAAATGGCTGCCCCAGATTAGCAGAAACCCTAAGGCAACGTTACTGAAAACAGGGATATTTCCAAGCCTGCATTCCATTTTTGACGACTGCATGCATAGCCTATTGGCAAATGGCTTTTAGATCAGCACGATGCTTGATGCAATCTCAAGTTATTTTTTAGCTTGGAGGAAGTATTTCTTACCTGAAGTCCTTGCAATTATAACAAAGTATTTTTACTCTTATCCAGTGTTTTGAGATATTATCTCACCTGCTACTGTTTTTTGACAGAGAACAATGAATACCACAAGAACTGCCGGTAACTTCATCGAGCAAACTTCAAGGGTTCTGTTCAAAACGTATTACAGGATTATCATGTCTTAGTATCATAGTCAAATTCGAAAAAAAAAATCTTAATTTCAAAATAAGAGCACAACAATAAGGTGCCTTTGATTTAAAACTCTTGAAACGGAGTAAACTTCAGTCAAAAGAACAGGATAAACTACATTGTATATTTAAACTAAGGTTCCGTTTCTTACATTTCTTAAGTTACCATGGCTGACCAGAGAATTAGTCTATAACGTACCTTATGAACCAGGTATAAATGCAAGAAGACTGTGAATTCCTACTAAAAAAATTTCCCACGAGTAGAAGGGGAATTATAACTTTCAACTCGTTGGCAATGAACATATACTCATTAATGTTTAATAGATCTGTCAGCAGTGCTTAAACGTTGTTCGACAGAAACAATGAAGATACCATGAACTTTTTGATACCCTGAGAGCTGAGTCATAAGACCGTGAAAAGAAAATATCTTGAATGTTTCTGCGTGGTTGCTAGGGACGCCGTTGGTATCAACACCTCTGAAAATGTCTAGAATGAAACGAGGATGGCCTTATAAGGCGGTAAATGAAAGCGCAAGAATAATTTTTCCCTACGTACAAGTGCAAATGTAGAAAAATCTCAAATCGAAACTGGAACTTAAAGGTGGTAGACAAGGAAAAGGAAACTTTGATGACTTACCGTTAAACACTATATTGCAAGGATAAAAGGCGTACGTCAGTTAAATCCAAGCTCATTTTCCCTAACCCTAACCCTGGAAGACATTACTAAGACCACGCCAAAACGAATGCTGTTCTAGACCCCCACGCTATCTTAATGCCATTTATGTTATAACTAATTTAAAAGCTGTAACAGACACTCCTAACTATAACACTCGGAGTAAAAATAACGTTGGTAGGCCTCAATCACATCGCTAGCTCCTGGGGACAAAACCGTTTCATCTACCAGCAGCCAACGACTGGAACATTTTCTCTAATGAACTTAAAACATTTCTGGCATTTAATCTTTTAAAAGACATATTAAGAGCATTTTATAATTTTTATTTTTTAATTCTTAAATTATTATTTGTTAAAGATTTTAAATTCTTCTTAGGCATTTTTCTATATCTGTAATTTTATTTTAATGCAGGGCCATGCTTAAAACCACGGGTGTGACGTAGGCTCTCTGTTTAACTATCTTTATTTCTAAAAATTTGTTCTCAAAGATCATATTGTATGTACCCTTTTTGAATCATTATTTGATACTAAGCTTTACATAAAAGAATTCACTATTTAATCACCTCTTATAGTGTTAGAAACCACTGACGGTTGTCTAAAATCTACGAGGCATTAATTAGCATTTAGCCTTGTTACTCTTGATCTTTACAGACTGCAGCTGACACAACTTGCTATAAATTCATTATACGTAAATAGAAAAAACCGTTGTAAGTTTTTATGAGTGTTCTTATATTTTTATCTCATTGTTAAATTATGGCTGTTAATTTACAGTTAAAGCTTTTTAACCCTCTGGCGTTCTCCATGGAATAAAATAAGTTTTTGTTTCGGGCAATTTGTTTTATTTAATTTTGTCGTTAGCCTGTAATTGAATTCCGCTTTCTTCTAAGATGACTAGTCCGTTTACGGCGTCTTCCCTGGCCCTCCCGGTCAATACATTTCAGTTAAACGTATCCGAGGGCCGGGACTCAAAATCTCGCTCAAACCACGTGACTCGAAACGCAATGGCCGTGTGGAATCTATGAGGCCTAGGGACTAGGCAAGGCTTTAATGACGGAGAGCCAAAAGTTGCATAGTCTACTCCACTCTACTCTGGTTTCTTCTGCGTTATTTGTTTTGGTTTGGCTTGTTAATTTGATAACGTTGTTATTTATAACAATTTGGTTTTAAAGTTCGCTGTCCGAAAAAATTCTAATTCAGTGCTGTCTTGATAAATTTAGTTTCCAGTAAAATTAAAAAAAAAAATGGTGACCGCTCTAGCTATTCTTCATTAGTAGATGAAGTCTCACTCGTTCCTTATAGTACCAGCTGGATTCGTAGTATTTGGAAAGTGGAGTGGAAGCCATTGCCGAAAGTATAGAGGTATGATTTTCCTTCTGTGTGAAAGGATAAAGGTAAAAATAAGGCTCCTGGGACCCGTTTCTCGATAGTCCCGGTACTTTTCGGGCCCGAAAAGCTGTTTTTGTTACCGTGTTTCCGTTCAAGATCAAAGTTTCAATAATTTTGAAATGATAGTTTAACAAAAAAAAAATTGCCTGGTTTGTGCGCCAGGAATTGTGCTACTACATTCAACAGGTTTTGATTTTAAAATTTGTCTTCTGGCCTAAAAAGATATACCGGGCCTTTCGAGAAACCGACCCCTGTTTTTTAACTGACGTTTAAAGGGGATGTGTCATTGCTTTCTAGCTCATTTTGCTATCATTGCCAATCATACGACTTTATTCAGAGTGGAACTTATTGTTATTTACGAAATTACGGGCAAATTATAAAATAAAAGCTTTACTGTCATATGGAATGTGTCTCCCAAGAATTAAATCAAACGTCACAGACAACAAAACTAAACTTTAAAAAAAAACTGTTAGGCTCACAAACCATTCCACCTTGTTATGTCTACTTGAGATAGTTTCATTTTATTTACTGCGCTTTTCAAAAACGCAATCTCTGAAATTCAAAAGCCAACTGACGTTTGCGTTTTTCGCTGCCGTCAGTCATCTTGGCGGACCTCTTAGGAAACAGAACTTTACTTAAACGAGTTCGAAAGGTCATGGTTTGTGATCTGTGATGATGGATTTCTACCCTTTTTCTGTGTTTCTGTGTTTCAAGGTTCGTTGCTTGTGATCGTAATAATGATTGACGGCAGCAAAAAACGCAATTGAGAAGGGGGCTTTTGAACTTTAGAGTTCCCGTGTTTGTAAAAAGCGCAGTAATACTTTCGAAACTTTTTATTATAACGCCCGGTCTCGAATGTCAAAACGACAAACTTAACTTAAATCCAGCCGTCCGATCCTTGTAATTGCGTCGACTTTCGAGATGCGACTGGTTCTAAGAAATTAATGTTTTCTATTTGGGGCATTGATTTTTGGTAACTTATGCCGTCAGTAAAATTTTCAACTTTAGAAATTTGCTTCGGTTAACTTGACTTCTTTTTAGCCTTGTTGATACGCCCCTTAACTGAATCAAAGTAAAATTGACCACTCTATTCACAGATATCAAATGAACTTAACACGGATATTGAATGGCCATTGAACCATTCAATCCTGGATAGCTTGAGCTTGTTCCCTTGGTAACGTAAAATGAGAAAGAATGCATAACACCACTTCTTCATTAAAGATGGAATGTAATTTCCTTACAAATTGAAACGTAACATGCTTTCTAAACGGTTTTGAGGCTACCCTACTAGCTAATTAACACTCACTAGCAAAACTTCTTTTTGATTTGGCATTCGGCGATCCAGGGTCTGCTCAGTGACCCCAAAAGATATCAATTGCTTTCATCTTAAAAACCGTGGAAGCGAATAGACCTGAAAATCAATGGAGAATTTCATCAGAATAATTAAATACTTGGTTTTGCTTTGCATTCGCAAAACTGCACAATAACAGGCCTTTTTTCTCGTGAGCATTCAAACATATGAGTCAGTTAATTCCTAGGGAATTGTAATTGACATTGTTTGCATTTTCAAAGCTTGTAAATTAGTATCTTACAGTGATTCCAGTGTCGTCATCGTGATTTAACAGGGTTATATTGTTCTTGACCATGTCACCTGTTGCAGGTTGTCTGGGTCACCCAATTGCGTACAGTTTAACACAGATTGTTGTCAGCTCAAGAGGTCTTCTGAGATGAAAACAAACTTGCAATTCTCTTTAAAGCTCCTGAGGTTGCTTTAAGGAAGTTATTCAATCTATAAACGAATGAATAATGAACTTTGTCAAGATTTTGTGGATTGGAATTTCGTACCTCGTGGCTATCTGGACTATCTGTGTGGCAGTGCCGCTTCTAAGTCATGAAGGTTTGTGGTACTGTTCTGTCAGATTTGACCTGTTTACAAGGAACGTTGCCTCCGCCTCAGCGATGAATCACGCTTATTCAATTCAGAGACGCGTTTGATGTCAACAAGTTTTTGATTCGATTCATTGCAAAGGGCAGGGCTAGACTTAAATTTGTTAACTTCATGCTTAATTAGCCTCTAGGCAGTAGCTAGCTATGAATCTGTATGGCATGTCAAAGAGATTTAAATTAGTGATTGAAAGAAGCGATTACTCGATCCTGTTCTAAACGTCGTTTCACATTAAGGTCCAGCTTAAAGATAAATATAGAAAAGCATTCTGTCCCATGCAAGTGTTGCATAAAAAACCAGAGTTTTCAAAAGACGGTGTGTCTGATTCATCCAAAACCTCTTCCTGTATCTCTTTCCGTACGACTTTTTGTACTAAATTGTCTACTAAAGATCACAGCAAGGCATCCATGAGTCACGCGTCCCTCTGCAAAAGTCAATTCCCCTCTAGATGCTTGACTTAGTTATAGCACAGCTTTAATGACTCCTATATAACTACAAAATTTTATTCTCATGTCGACAACTAATGTATATACAATTGATTATAGTTAAAAAGCATTCGATTGTCTGTATCTAACTTTCCAGTGCAATGTGCTCTGTTCCTACCGATTTCGTTGGACTAAATCGATCAAAATGCATGCTGTATTCTGTAGATGCTGTCGTGGTAACATAAATTGAGCAAAATCGTACCTAATCGTATAGAAAACGAAGTTTTGTCTGAATTTTTGTTAACCAATAGGTTGTTTTAATTTGCTTTCTTTACTTCTGAAAAAAGTCTGTCAAAAATCCCCAGGGATAGCCACCTGCATTGAAGCAGTTAGCAGTCTGAATATTTTTGCACCATATACCAGTATACCGTTTATGGATACATTTATTTTTTCAAATGTATCAATGAAAGTATCAAATATGAAAAAAAAAGTTTTCACATTGTATAGTATACCGTGAGAAATGTTTTTTAAACTTGAAGTTACATTAAATTAACTAGACAGCTTGTGTCATATCACAGGGCCGATTCAAGAGCGGATTTACCCCCCATGTGCTAGTTATTTAACTTCTTTTCGAGACATAATTCACTTTTGACTAGAAATCCTTTTTCGTTGGTGTGCAAAGTTTCTGAGTTTTATAGTAATGTTTTGGTTACATGTATATTCATCTACAGATGATGACTTTGGAACAATTCCCCTTATCAGGCCTCAAGGCGTGCTAAATCCAAAGCTGAAGACAGAGGTGCGGCGATTAATGGTGGGTTGGTTATAATTACTACTGATATAAACATTGTTAGTCAAACTTTGTCACCACTACATTTTTCATTTTGTTCCTTTGCATGGGACTCTAAAGCCACCAGCCGCCGAGTATGATGGAATCCAAACTCCTCTGCATTAAACTTTCAGGGCTATTGTAATTACTAAAAGTTATGAAAACACACCACCACAGAGAAAGTGTTTTGTCATCTAACAAATCATGTAACCATAACCCCTTTCTTTTTTAAAAACTTACGATCAACGTTCAAAAAGATGAAATAAGAGAAATTAATTTAGCTTAAATATGTCACTGCCCCTGGCTGTGATCCTGAAGCAGAAAGATCTCTTTATTTGTTTATTGATTAAATACTTGCTTTTCTTTGGGCTGACATATACGATCCCATCTTGTTTCAAAGATTACTGTGCAGAAGCGTCAACAATAGAACACCTGTTCTAGAGAAAAGAGAAGAAAGCCGAGGTAAATTGCCTCTTAGGTTTTGCTATATAATTTAGTAGCCGCCTCTGAAGCAAAACAACATGGTGTGGGTAAAGTACTTCAGTAGCGAGAGAATATATTTTATAGATTGTTAAATATCTCATATCTCTTAGAGTTTTTATTTATTTTTGAAGCAACTGCCATCGCAAGACACTTTGAACAGGATATATTAAACACGAAACGAATTTAAATTTGTTTAAAGCGCAAAAAATATTTAAACTGATGAAATCAAGAAACGGTAAAACGGACAACAAACGTTTGCTCAAATAGACGTCAGGAAGTCCCATCTTCAGGTATCTCACAGGAATCAATACTGGGTCTCCTCATCTTTACATACCTTATTATAGGAAATTAACGCTCCATGAAATTAAGGTATTGGAAATTAAGGCGACTTAAATTAACGCGAATTTAATGGAAAACGACTTTCGAATAAAGAAAATTAACGCGAAAGAGGAGGTAGAATTTCATAATGACGAAATTAACGCGATTAAGACACAGTTGGTGGTGACAACTGGAACAAATTTATTTCAACACTGGATGCAAAAAAATTCAAAACTGAACAAAACTGTTCTGACAGCGACAACGATGAAGATGAACTCGAAATATTGTAAACCTTCGCCTTAGCTTTTGTGAAAGATGAGAAATAAAGGGTTAATTGAAAGAAAGAAAGCTTGTAGTTAATGTTTTTTAGGTGTCAAGAATGTCTGGACAGGTTCCAAAATTAAGGTTAAAATACTGGATATTAAGAGCGCGGAAATTAACGCTGCACTTAATTAACGTCGCGGAAATTAACGCTCAACAAAATTAACGCGACTTAAATTAACGCGAATTTTAACGATTCGCGTTAATTTCATGGAGCGTTAATTTCCTATAATAAGATAGACGTGGCAGACCAGTAAGAGATCCCCAATGTCCGTGTCACAAATCTGCAATGAATACAGCCTTCTTTCTGGATCGATTCTCTTAAGGGTGTAACTTGGATGATTGTGCTTCGGAGTTCTCCCCTTGTGGGCTATTTGGCTGATTACAATTATACTCTTAACGCGTCGAAGCCTAAGTGGATGTTATTATCTACAAAGCATATGTCTCGATTGCATAGTTTGGAATACATCCCATAAAAGAGTGTTTTTGAGTTATTCTGCAAAACAAGTTGTACGGTTTTTTTCCTGTTTTATTTTTACGCCGATACAATGTTTACAAGACTTTAAGGAGAGTCTGGACCCTCTTGACTGCCCTGGCAAAAGCCCTCTGCTAAAACGCTGAGTACGGCTTCCAGCGACGGTAATTTTGCTTGATATTTTGTGTGGAAGAATAATAACAACAAAAAAAACATAAAAGAAATGTTAATGCATCTGAAAGCTTTTTACTTTTCCTTTTGAACAGTGTTACAATGGAAATCTGACAAGCTCACACAGTGGCTAATATACAATTCCCTAATGAAAGGACGAATCAGCATGGAAATCAGTAAACGGTGAATCAGTTGGATTTACGTAATGAATGAGTAGTGGAAACGTGTTATGAACTGTCGGAAACGTTGCAGTCATAAATCAATAGACTTTCATGACTATAAACTGCACAAATCATAATTGGAGCCATGGACGTGTCCAGGGAACAGAGGCGCTTTCTGTCAATGACGCTAAAAGAAAAGTTAATATGAATAGGGCAAATACAAAAAAAAAAATGACGCGACAGGTGGATTTAAGGAATCCATTCATAGGCGCAACAACTAAAGGCTATTCATGTAACCTTTTTTTATAAATAGTAACACGTACACAACCTTGATAATCCCATCAGGAAAGCAGCGTCTGCTTTTACCTATAACTTCAAATTTTGTGCATTTTACTAATTAAATCACTTATTGTAACTCATATTAGTTTAAAAAAAGTAGCCTGTGAACAAGTCCTCCGGGGCGCTCTGGGTCCCGGCCCCCGTACAAAAAATCCCCTGAAAAGTTTCTCGCGGGCTATTTTAAAATGGTATTCTTATGTAAGGCAGTTTTACCGAATATGAAGAAATAAAATTGTATTTGAGGCCTTTTTGTGTGTTTTAGTATTACTACGAGATCGTTTCATAAATGTACCAAGAAGTAAAGCGAGTAATTTTGTTTCGTTGTGTCATATTTATCAGCTTAAGAGTTGGCAAGTTTATACTCTTACTAGTGTTCTAATGAGTTCCGAAAGCTAAAATCCGGCTAAGGAGATGTAAATACTGTTTTAAAGGGGAAAACTTTCTGGTACTATCGGAGTGAATGCCTGTAAACCTTGGCTTCTCCATGATCTTCTGGATCGTCCCGATCGTCCCTGTCGTCTCAATTAACGTTCAGACGATCGAAAAAATCATATGGAAACGCTACTCGATCGCAAACGACCCGGACGGCTGAGACGACCTCGATCCCTTGGATAGAGTTGAGTTCTATCCGGATGATCGGGACGATCGTGTAAATTTTGAGGCGATCATATGGAAATGCTCTCAGACGACTGGGACGATCGGGACGATTGAAGGCTATCCCAGAAATCATCACTATTACTCCAGTAATCGAGAATAAATTCGGCCTTGACGCCACTGAAGTCGAAAAAAATAGTTCAAAACTGTTGGCATCGCACATACACGCTATTTAAAACTAGGAAAAGTCCGTTTCATCAATTTTTAGACGTGGTACTACGTCTTCGTGGAACTCTTCTTGCCTGTCAACGCCACAAAATCGAGAGAAAAAGCAGATAGCAAGGCTCCAGGTTTGCTCTCCGTTTAAAATCCATAATTATATTTGGCTTGTTTGCGAAACACGCGCAATTGACTGACCCAGAGACATTGCTGACGACCTCGCGTCCAAAAAAACCTAAAAAATAAAAAACAGTACAATTTTACATCCTCCAAAATGAAGAAGTCAGGTTTTCAGTTTAACTTCGATTTTTTAATAGATGAATGTACTTTACAATGCCTTTTATTTCTACATCTAAAGAAAACACTAATTAAAATCTATATACAGAAATTTACTTATATTCTTTAGGATCTAAATACTGAAGTCTCTACTGTCTAGTTCTAGGTTGACTTTATGCCAAACTTTCTGAAGTCGAGACGTAGTCCTATCTAGGAAATCGAAAAGTTCCGAGAAATGATACGTGAAGGAGACCCGAAATAACAAAATTGCAGGGCAAAAAAACGCTGTTCATCCCTGTTTATAAATGCTTAAGGCTTCGAATATGAAACCTGGAGTAAAATGTAAGCCGATATCCTGCTGCCCCAAGTGATCGTTTTGCAGACACTCCTAAAATTGAAGACATCTATGAGCCCCCCTGAAAATGGCATGATTAAAAGGCTAGGCCACGGTATCTCTGATAATCATACCACTTTTCGGTGGTCATGAGATTTAGAGAGAGTAAGAATCGATGAGGGAAACGTAAAGTATTTGCCTCTTTAGGTTGACTCCCAGTTTAATATTTAATGATTCACGGTTTGTACAAATACTGCACTTAGACGACTTTGAAAGAGAGTAAGGACGCCACTTTGGTAGTTTCCAATTTTTACCAGGCTGGTTGGTAATCCTTTTTAGATTTCTACCTCTCTGAAGCATGGTTATTTTGATTTTATAATCAATTATTTGATTGCTTCATTTATTTTTGGAAGAGCTGGAATTGACTTAAAGTGCGTTTCCCAGACCATAAAGGTTCTTGGCTTGTTTACAGCTGTAACAAAATTGTTTGCTCTTGACCTTTGCTAGGCACCGTTGGACTTTGTGCTATAGATACTGAAAACGCGGTTACATTCTATGACCGTCTGAGGAGAATTTTAAGTAACATTTAAAAGTTCATTTAAGTTGCAACTTTTATGAAATCTCGTTTTACACTGTTTTATGAATGTGTTTTGTGTATCAAATACCTCTTTAATAATTTTTCAGCTAATATGACATTCGGAAACTTCTTGGTGGATTCCATTGGGCAAGACAAGACAATTTTCTCAAAGAATTTAATGTAATAAATTATTATAGTTTGTTTGTTATGCAGGAATTGATTGCCATCAGGGATTTTCGTGAACGTGAATTTTACTCCCGTTATACAAAAACATCAAATTTTCAGCTTTTAATTTAGGCTGCACCCGATACATTTTAAAAACTATACTTTCATCCAGGGCAAGTAAACAAGAACATTTCCTCAATTTGATGTCTTTTAAAGATTTAAGTCCCTATGAGAACGCGAAAGCCTAGTTTCGCCTTTAAAATCAGGAGCGTTTCTCTTAAAGTGTTCTTTCAAGATGCTAGGTAGTTCTTCGCTTCCTCGTTTTGACATCTTGTATTCTTTTTCAATTTCTACCGCTCTTTTCTTTATTTGGGTTTTTATGCTTGAAACAGTGTCTTGGAAAACAGGAATATTCAAGATGGCGGCCATAGCTTCTTTGGCCTGCTGGGTAACGGCTTGATGGCCTTCCTTGTAGTCTTTCACCTCCTGTCGGATGGATTCCGCAAGTTCTGAAAGCAATATTAAACAGAAATGTTAACGAGGCCGTGTTAGGGCCGGGTAAATTTCCGACCAGCGCCATGTAGTTGTAATTTTGTAATTGTAATTTGTTTACTCATGGAGCAATTAGGAGTTTTTAAGACCTCGTTGAAATGTGTCCGTGTGAATTGGAATTTGGAAGTGTTGGTTTTTAAGGAGAGGAGATAACAGGAGTACCTAGAGGATAAAAAACCCTCGGAGCGAGGAGGAGAACCAACAACAAACTAAACCTACATATGACTTTGAACCCTGGTCACAATGGTGGGAGGCGAGTGCTCTCACCGCTTGTTCCCCAAATGGAGCACGGCCGTAAAACAGCTACATAGGCCAGATGAAATGGTAGCAAACAACATAAATATGGGTTGAGACTACGACAGCGACGAAGAGAATCGCAAATACAATCACCTGCGTTTAATACTGACAGGGAAATGGCTTCCTCCTCACTTTGCGAGGATACTACTTGTTTTGAAATTCAGACTAGGGATTTAATAACCCCTCTCGAAGAAGACGTCATTGATGCTACAACCAGTTGCAAAAATACTTGATACACTCCACCTTATTTTGGCCTAACAGACCTGCTTATGCTCTTGTGCTTGTGATCTCTCCTCCTCCGCTTATCAAAGTTGTTCGCAATACAAGACCATGCTCAAGACTTGGTAGAACAACTTGAAATTAAGGGACGGGGGAGGCGAGTATTAAATCGCACAGATGTGTGACCAGCAGCGATTTGAAGTAAGAAAGGCTGATTTTCCTTCAGAGCTAGACTAAGTGTCTTAACACGTTTGCAAAAAATCTAATTTAAAAGTAAATGAATAATTTACCGGGTACAGGTTTTATTAAGTCTATTTTGCCTGGTAGATCCATCTTCAGTTATAGATAAAAAAATGATATATCAAAATGTGGAAAGAACGCAAATGCAGAACAAGACTGACTTTCACGCGGTCTACGATCTGTGACTGAACTTTCCGTTATGCGAACGTGTCTGTTAGAAAACATTAGGGTGGATAAAAGTAATTTGACCGTAACTAACGATAACAAAATGAGACCCCAAAGAGTAATTCACAACTTATTTATTTTACCACGGAAACGGGCAAAAGACTTTTTCGAACAGTCATCTCATACGTAATAAAGAAGGGTATTAGTGGGGAGCCCGGTTTGGCTATTACTGAATTCATATTTAGACGTTATTCATCATACCGTTAGCTTTCTTGACTATGGTTTCTCTGATGGTAGTTCGTAGCTTGTTTTTCACTTGTTCCCTCTGACCTTCTGGTACGTCCATTTGTTGCATTACATCTTGTTTCATTTGTTGAACAACTTGCTGTAGGTTAATCAATGTCTTCTTTGACTGATAAATATCCAGTATCAAGGACATAAGATTTTCAGCTCCTGAGATAAAACAAAAATGACATCATTTATTTACTAATTTTTCCCCGGTAAATGTAAAAAAAAAATTAGTTGATAAAGCTACGAAAGTAGTTGATTTCACATACTTTCTAGGCGGGCAATACGTTTTCCTGTCAGACTGGTAAATAATCAAGCGATCCACACCAGAAAATTAAAGTAATTAAGAGATTCGGGATTGAAACTATGAACGACGATACTGGCATGTCAAAAATAACCATCGGAATTAAAGGGATTGAGAGAAATTCAAGTCACGAGTTCCAGAAATAAGGAGAAAGGGTTTACAAGCTTCTGGCGCAGCGATTTCTGGGATCACTTGGGTGGACAGGCGTAACTTGTGATTGGTTAATGGTTGCCTTGAATACCATCGACCAATCATAACCAAGGCTTGTCCACCCAAACGATCCCTGAAATGATTGCTCCTAAAGCTTGTACTTATTCTCCCTCGAGTTTCTGGAGTGGGGAATTGGAGACTCTCGAAAAACAAATCATGCAAATTAATGCTAAGGAATATAAGGTAATCAATAAAGAAAATTCAGTGCAATATTATTAAACTTTAATAATAGAAAATAAAATGAACGAATCGACAGTGGGAGACCATAATTAAATAACGTTTAAAGGGCAGAAAGGAAAAAAAGGAGAAAACAATAAAATATTGTTACCTTTTTCCACTTGATCACTAAGCTTATTGTTTATATTGTCATTCATCAAGGCACTTTGTCTCTAAAAAACAAATAGAATGAACTGTGGAAGCGAATACATGGTAGCGCATCAATGATATCTTGAAAGAAAATATTTAGTTTATTTAAATTGTTTCTTGGTAAAAAAAAATTACACAACTACCTTTGACTTTGCCTTTGTCTTGTCTTCTGTTTCTTCAGGCAACTCTCTGCGATGTCTCATCAAATTGCCATCATCATTCGTCTCTCTTACTACACGTGCATAATCTGTGAAAAGAATTAACGATAGTGAATATGTGAGAGTTTTTAAGATGTTATAAATTTTGTAATTTGTTCACACAATAACAAGCGTAAATTTAGTTATCAACATAGATGATCAAATTCCTTTTCTTTTAATTGGCCCCTCGAAACGACCCAATGCAATTTTCTTCTGGGAATTTGGTTTCTCCCACACACATCATTCTTGGTGGGTATTCAGTTCAAGTCTTCTGACTGTTTGTCGTACTGACTAAAACCGAATTAATCACCTAGTCATTCAAATTAGTTCATCCGATCTTGAAGGAAATAACTTTCTAATGTTAAAAAGAAAGAAAAAAGAGCGAGAGCAAGTTTCTTTCATTTATAGCTGATCGTGGCAGGATAGCCAGTGAGGCCAACAAAATCAAGAAATAAAAGAAAATCGACGCAACGACGTCGAAGCCTGCGGCAACGAAAGTTTGAATAACGTAGCCACTTAGCCTTTTTTTTTTCAAACTTCATCGCGTTTATAACATACTTGACTCTTGAGCATCTTCCTCGTCTGCTTCGTCACCGGAATCTTCACTTTCATCAGAACCAGACATACCAGACTCCAATGATTCATCTGATTCGTCTGACTGACCTGATTCGCTCGACATGTCTTCAAAACCAGATCCACCAGATTCGTCGCTGTCCTCCTGAGAACTTGCTTCTTCAGTATTACTAGAATCAGTTGTGACCCGATTTTCACCCAAACTAACTGGATCAGCAGCATTTTCCGTCAACTCCTCGGGCTGTTCGTTATCTCCCGAATCATCTCCGAGCCTGCTAGGGTCGTCCTCGGTGTCACTTTGGTGCTCAGGGACAACGTTGCGCTTCGACACTTGTTCAACACGGGCAGCTCTTGATGCCATTTTCTTTGGCCCGTCGAAGCTGGCATCCCACGGTTCACCGATTTCCCTTCGTTTACGAGCTTTGAGTTCCTTGTTTTTAGTTTTCTCAACAAACTCGCCGTCTCCAGATTCATCAATGACCATTCTTCGATATTCAAACTTTTCATCCTTATCGCTCGACTCTGTAGGAATTATGAAAAATTGAAACGAAATCTTATTATCTAAACAGGCATTGATCATGAACTGTTTAACATAGAATATACTTTCAATGCAGGTCTGGGAATCTTAAAGAATTAACTGACAATCTTAAAGAAGGAATTGGTGACGAAACAACTGCAAAATCTCTATCGTATGACTTTTCTTCTCGAGTCGCAAAACATGTCTTTATTGGGGTTATTTTTTTGGCATTTCAGTAAGCAACTTTCCAGCATGTTACTAGCACAATTGGAACAGGTCTATCAAAGGGTGGCCTACGGGTAGACGTCTCGTATTTCCTTTGTTGCAGTCGGACAAGGGTCCTTGGCTGTTGTTTAAGGTCTTCATGTGGAGTCAGCGTGTACAATGACAGTTATAGGTAATCTACTATGTTACCTGAGGATCCAGATTCATCCTGACCCTCGACGTCTCGATAGTTCCTGTCATAGCCCCCCACGTCACTCAAATACGCTACCAACAGATCCCGTCCATCACCCTCTGCGTCTCGTTTTTCTTTCCTAGTGTGCTCAACTGACGCTGTTTTGGACGCCATCAATTTTTCAGCAGCTGTGTACATGGAAAAGAGGAAAACGGACTTGATTTTCTCATCAGCAGGAAGTAAAAGACCAAACTCACTATCGAGCGTACTGAAGACATCTTCACTATCTGTTCACTATGCTTTTTCATGTCCTCTATACAGTGGAACGAACCTCTATGTAACGCAGTCCTCGGTATAACGAACGATTTTCTTTACACCAGTTATAGTAAAATATGTATAGATAAAAACCACGATATAACGAAATCTCGTCAGTTATAACAAACACATTTTACCAATCCTTTGGCCCTTCATTATATCGAGGTTCCTCTGTATTTTTTTAAATGGAAATCATGTAAAGATAGTACGGATTCACAAAACGAGTACTTGTTGTGAATCACATGTGCTCTGCTTCAAAGGACTGACTGCGGAAGCAGAGCGCAGTCAGCGAAGTTGCGAATCAAACTAACTTACCATCGAGTGCACTGATGGCATCTTCACTGTGTGTCTGAAGCTCCTCATCTGGAGTCCGTTTAGATTTCTCGTGTTGAGGATCTGCGTGGAATTTGCCACATACTTGGTTAACAAAATTTATTGCTTGTAGACAAGCCTTTATAAACTATTGCTTATAATTTATGGTGGTGTTCTGATTTCACATATACGTAGATGCTTAATGACAGACTTACTCTCTACTAAAGCGAACAAGAAAGTAACTTTAACAAAGGTGGAGTACTTACGAGGTAGCAATTTCTTCGCAGCTAAGAGGGAAAAAGACAAGAGAACAAATGTTGACAAATGTTTTAAAGTTTCCTTTTCAGGAATGTCAAGAGAAGATCACCTTTAACGTCAACTGTCGTTTTTGATTTTCTTACCTTTAAGTGCAGCTTCCGCGGCTGGAAAAGAAAGATAAAAAAGTGCATTAGTTTTAAACAGGTTTAAGGATAATAATCGAGTGACTTATCTATAAATGATAAATTACGTATTTAATGGTTATCAGTAATAAGTAATAAAACACGAAATGACTGAGATCTTGAATGTAAATCAGAATTAAGAAATGCAATTGCGCATTTTCAATATTGGGGTTTTGAAAAACTAGTAATGTGTTTAAGAAACAATACCTTTCATTAAATGATTAGCAACTTCAGCTGTGGAGTAGAAAAATAACAACATAAGAACCAAATAACTATTAATATTGTCCCAAAAAAACATTTAGAGAAATTGTGATTTGAAAAAACGACGTAGTGAGTAAGAAAGATCAGAAAAGGAATTCTTACTATGTTCTGGCACTGTGTGGTTGATGATCATCAGTTGGTCCATGCAAAAGATAAAAAAATAAAAGAATAAATGAAATGAAGAGTACGTTATTCTTCTGATTAAAAGGGAACGAGCCTCGAAAAAGAGTATTTACAATCCTTTACTCTTTCTCAGTTAGAATTTAGTATATACTTAAAAGCAACATTTCTGTTCAAAAATGAAAAATGAAAAGCTGGAAGACACTTTGTACGTCAAATTCTATTTTTACGCGATCATGGTACCCTCAGAGCCCTTAATTTTTTCTCACCGGAACAGGTATTAAGAAAACCTTACGAAATTAGCCAGGGTTTAATTTTTGAGGTTAAAATTTCCGTAGATTAAGTATACATGTACGTAACAGGGTTGCACTGCACCGGTAGAGTAGAGGTCACGGGTGCGAATCCGGTACAAGCCTGAATTTTTTCAGGCTTTCTTTTCGCAACTGCAAAAGTTGCGTCAATAACTGCGATGATCTTCTTTCATATAGTTCTTCACCCCGCAGTTCTCATATATGATTTTCATATATTCATGACTTCAGGGGTTATTATACTGTCTCACTAGTTTTCAGACACACGTAAAAAGCCTGGAAAATGAATATCTTATGACAATCAGGCGGCCGTGTTTCTTGGTGTTTCGCAAACCATTCTAGAATAGGTAATATGGTGTGGCGTGGGTGTTGAGTTCAGTATCTTTTCAGTCTCTTGAAATACGTCATTTGATAATTGCACCCATCCGCAACACGTTTCTGGGAAACTGACCACCTACCCCTCCTCTAACTCAGCATTGACGCTTACTTCTCACTTTAGGGCAAAATGTTGGCTTAGGGGAGGAGTAGGTAAGCAGTTTCCCAGAGACGTATAATGAGCCGAAACCTTTTAGGCTGAATGAAACGACACCTGTAAGGTTACTGACCATCTTGCTGTTCTTCGTCTTCTTCGGCGTCACCTGATCCACTCTGTTCTTTGTCAACTTTTTTGTTTTGCTCAAGAGGATCATGCCATTTACCATCTGTAATTGGAAATTACAGTACGTGCATTGCGTAATTAGTTGTGCAGATTTCACTTCTCCGACTTAGGTAACCTTTTGGTTTCCAAAACGTTAATCACCAACAAAAAAAAAACTGCTCCCAAAGACCATAGAAGCTATTTCTGTTTCGAACCTGCCTCTTGTTACATGTATGTACTTCAATACCTGCTTAACTCATATGAGGAAATGAAATTAACTTCTCCGTGAGTTTTTTGTTTTGCTTGTTTGTTTGTTTGTATGCAGGTTTTTTGCAACCTCCAAGGACAAACGATTAGAACTTCAGTTTGATTTACTGTTCTTCTTATTAACTACATGACCTCTGAAATAAATCTGTAAGGAATATTAAACTTAAGTTAAACATTTATCAATGCACTTACCAACAGAAAAGACAGAATTATGCCAGAAGGATCCACAGTTTCTTGTTTTATCCCCAAAGCACAAACTGGAGCATTCGCCGTCATCTACGTGACCGTACTTGCCAAACTTATTACCGCAGAAACAAAGGTATCCATATTGAAGGCCAGCGTAACTGAATCCTGCCAGTTTACACTTGCCGACACACCACTCGGGTGTCATCTCATATTTGGTAAATTGTTTGGGAAGGTCGCGTCCAGGTTTCCTGTCCTTGAAGCATCCTAGATAAGCTGTAGTCAGAATAACAGTCAATACTTATCACCGACAGATGTAAAGCGTATTATTACTCAAAGTTCTATGTGAATAAGCCTGAGACAGCATTTCGCGACGCCATCACCGTGGTTTCACCGTAAAATGATGTCTGGGTAACGACTGCGGAAAGTCCATACTGATGTTTCGGATTGGTCGTGCCGCGAGGGAAATTTGCTACAACCAATCAGAAGCAATACCCAAAGCTGAAATAGTGACACGTCACCAGTATGGAATTTCTGCGCTCGTTTTTCAGACGTCATTTCGCGGGGAACCAGCGGTGGCGTCGTGGAATGTCGGCTGTTTTCTCAGTCTATAAAATGGTTCAAAACTATAAATAAACGTTGTAAAATATTTAATAGCTCCGGGTTAAAACTAACTGTCTTGAATTTCGAGAATCCGGCGGCTACAGTGTTTTCAAGCACCATTTTCAGCAATTTGAAGCTTTGATCTTGATACTCGAATAGTAATCAACCATGTAGTATTGTTTAAAAGATACAGGTAAAGAACTTCCATAATAATAATAGATTTGAGTAAATGAATTCAACACGCCTTGCGTATACCTTTCTATTACGTATACCATTATGGAATCGGACATGACACCACTGAGTCCCTGGACTCTTTTTGGTTTAATGGCAATAACTCGAGATCAAGGGGAGAGGGGCCCGGGCTGGTTCACAATATGAGAAGTTGATTTTATGCCACGTAAACAAAAAAAGACGAAAACCTGCAGCATGATTGTTGTGTTAAACTTCCCAAAAAGTAAAGGAAGAGGTAAAAAATCTCACTGGCACTGGTAAGAAATCTATGTAGAATGTATAAGGAACTCACATCGTGATTCCGTTGAGAGTATTTCATCCTGGAGCTTGCGGCTGCTCTCCACCTTAACTTTAGGAAGTGCGTCCAGCTCGGCCTGAGTAGCGACGATTGAGCGATGATGATGAGTGAGACCTTTTGAAGAAACAAAATGCCCAGCTTAAAAATCAGGCGAATAACTATTAAATATTACAACAGCCTGCTTCAAAGAAGATCATTCTACTACAGACGCCTAAGCGACGCAGAAATATAAGAATGCCTGTTGTTCTTTTTGTTTTTTGGGGTGCAACGAGACCCCCTAACAGTTCGCAAACTGTGCCCCTTCCTCATGCCACCAGTGCAAGCTGATTAGTTCCAGTAGTTGTCCTTCCCCAATGATAAATGAATTTTTCCATTTTTCCAGAGAAAAAAATATCGGATTTTAAGGAAACTCGGAAAAAGTCAACTACAAAACCACAAGTTTAACACACCAGCCGATTCGCCCCAAATTCCCAGAAACTTAGTTTTAAAAGTCTTTTCAAACTTACAAAACTTTTAACCATAAAATAGTCTTAGCAGGAAAAGCAAATAGTCAAAACGACCAAGGCTAGCGTCTTTGACCGATTCTACAGCCAGTTTACTAATAACATATCAAAGAATATTCTGATGTAACAAGAACTTAATATGAACAAAACTTGTATCTGTATGATTGACCTACCATCACGTAATAAAGTGTTCTTGAAAACTGGCATGCTCTGAAGATAATGGTTGGCAATTGCATGGGAGAGATATCTCAATCCCTCTTTTTCAGGCTGCTGGAAGCGAAGCACAAAATTCGCTGCCACTTTCATATCTTCGTCGCTGTGGGACCAAAATTAAGATTTTTGTTTAATTTATGATACCAAAAATGTATGAAATATAATCCTACACAGAGTAGCAAGCCCCTTTAAATGAATCTGAATTTCGAGTAAAGCCTGTGTAACATGTTTCATTAATATTCCGGCGTTATAAAAAATCCCCCTGTTGAGAAAAGTACCTAAAATTCTTCCAATAAAAGCAAAGCAAGATTTATATTAATTTATAACACGAACGTGTAAAATACTAAAAAGTGAAGTGACCACCCGTCCTCCTTTTAATTTGAATTTTGAGTTATATCTTGACTAACATATGATGATTTCATACCGTATTGCAATAAAAGGGAAATTAAACAACGAAGACGTCTATAAAAAATTAACTTAATTTTGCGTCATTCCTACGGGCCTTGTCGCGCTTATTGGTAACCACTCAAGTTGTGAAATGTAGGCGATTTTTCCTGGAATTGAATACTTAAAAACTTTATTCAGCTTCAAAAGAGAAAGAAAAATTTGGTATCTACTTCTCACGTCCTCCATAGAACGTCGCATTGGGAGATTTAACCTTGTAGTCAGTGTAGTCGTGCAGTGGGTGTCGAAGAAATGTACTAGAAAGTGAGATGCACGTGTAGAGCTGTAAAGCTGTTTTGCTCATAAAAGCAATAGACCTTTTCGGTTTGTATGTTTTGCTTTCCCATTTCAGACCCCAGAGAACTGTTTCTTTCCAATGTCGTTCTACCCACCTTCACCTTTAAGCTTCAGCATATATATACGTAATTTATGAAAAGACAAAAGGTAAATTCCCTGAAGAACATCACGTGGTCTGAATTGGGAAAAAAACATCGAAGCTAAAAAGGTTAATTGTTTCGTTCAAGCCTCGATCCTCTTGAACGGTTTGGAAAACTGGGTGTCAAGCTGTCTTTGGTTGTAGTAACAGAGACAAGTTGAGAGTTGGGGAGCAGGTTTCTTCCTTACTGCTCTCTTAAAATGACTATTAAATAACAAATATAAACAATTTACCTCAAGCTGGTGACTTGAACATCCTTGAAATTCGGATCCTGAGAGTACACGTCTCTCAACTGTGTGTAAGATAAAAAATACCAGTAGAAAAAGGAAATGTTCATGAGTGCGTTTCAAATGCGTCACAGTTTTTTAAAAGTTCAATATTAAGTACTTTCCGCATCAACTGCAGACAAAGTTAACAATGGCCATTTCCTTCGTCCCGTGCAAGGAAATCCGGATTCCGAAATCCGGGAAATATTTTCTTCTGGAATCAGGAATCCGGGAAAATTTTGCCACTGCAATCCGGAATACCGCTAAAGATTGCAATCCAGAATCCAAGTTCCACCGTGGAGTTAAAAATCGAGAAACACCGACAGAAAATTAAGGACCAAACTATGAAGAAGTCCTTTTTGCATTGGTTAGTAAGAAAAGAACGAAAAAACGCTTGAAAAGCTCTTATTATCAATGACAGTTTATAATCATCATCATCACCATCATCATTTCTAGTGGCACCGGTAGACGCATAAAGCCGTTGATGGTATATGTCAACCATCAAAAGCAGAGAAAGCGTCCTACATGGCTGCCAAAAGCTTTCGTCACTGAGGCAGACCAGGCAAGAGAAAGACACCCAATGACTGATTCTTTCATAAGGAAACTGCAATGCTATTTACCGCTTTCTCCACTTCCGCTGTGAATATCTTGTACTTAGTCGAAGAAGAACGTCTGTAATCATTGTCCCAGTTCTGTTTGAATCTCAGTGAGGCCCTTATCTCGTTGCGCTCGTCTGTGAAAGACAAAAATACATCTCGCTTGAGATTCAGTCCACCAAATTATTTTAATCTTTTTGTAACGTATATTGACGACTAAACATCGAGCTCCTGTCCGAAGAAGAAAATACTGAGAGAAAATAAAACTAAGCTTAAAGCTTACAGCTTGGACTACTGCCTGCCAGAGCTGCAAAAAATTATGTACAAGAAAAAGACAGAAGGCAAATTTCCAAACAACGAATTTGATCACAGCCTCAAATAGATGAAGAAAAAAATGCCCGAAGTCTGATGACTAAAAGCTTTGAGTGATAAACTTTTAAAACCCCTTATCATTCTCCACATATAGCCTGCCCACCGGATCAGAATTTAAAACCAACGCTATAAATTATATTTTTTCAATCTAAAAAGAAAATCAGTGAAGATTACCTGTTGGCCAATCAAGAAAGACTTGGCACCTAGGTTGGCTGTAATCGTGACAGTCACGGGGCATGGGTTTGAAATATTGCGATGTCACTGGAGCCTGAGGCTGTGCTTGAGGTCCGGCCAAACCTGAGATGGTGATACCATACGGGACCTGAGGAGCTGAAGGAGCTTGGGGTGCAGTGTAAGGCTGGGGCATAGCATAGGGTTGAGGCATAGCATAAGGTTGAGGCATAGCCATAGGAACCTGGCCAGGAACCATTGGAGCAACTGGTATTTGGGGCTCAGAGGTGATTTTAACTGGATCCATAACAACAGTTCCCCCTGGGGTCTGAAATCAATCAATCAATAAAAACAAGACATAACTTTCCAAAAGAGCTGAAAGTGACTGGCCAAATTTTAAGCGAGATCACTGCTTATACTTTTTCTTTGAAATATTTCATGCATTTACTGTGGTTAACTTTCATACTAAAGACAGAGTGATAATCTTATAATAATAAAAAAATGAAGTAATTAATTACCTCTACACAGACTTATCGCTCAGTTGAATCACTTGGAAAAATTGTTTCAGAACATTTTCCATTGTTATGGCATTATAAAACTCAGTTAATAAGGATGATAAGTAATGAGTGATAATTTTCGTTTACAGAGGTATAGACCGCGTGGCATTTGCCCAATGTAATATATAATAATATTGTCTTTTTTTTTCTTTTCTCCAAAACAGTAAACATCACAACGGAAACATGCGATAGCTATACGCGAAAGCTGCAAATGAATGAATCCATCCTAAATAATGGAGCAGATGAAAAAGGACTAATTTGAATTTTATTGAAACGTAACATTACTGACGCTTTTAACGAACCTGAAAAGTATATGGGGCAGGAGCTTGAGCTGGTTTTGGAGGAGGAGGAGCCGGTTTATCCTGTTTTTCGTTAGGTTTATCAGAATGTGACTCGTTGTCATCCTTTGGCTTGTCACATGACCGTCCCACACAGCCCTCCTGCACTGGTGATGGTCTTGCACCAGCCACAGGGAAACCAGCCTGTCCAGGATACTGCTGAGGCTGAGTGTATCCACCGTACATCTGGCCCGGCTGACATGCTGGAGGGGTGCAAGGCGCTGGCATTTGTCCCATATAAGGGTACGGCTGCATTTGCCCATATGCAGGTTGTTGTGAGTACAGGCCGTAGGCTGGTGCTTGGCTGGGCTGTTCAACAACAGGAGGTTCACAGATGATTTTGCACTCAGTGTTTCCCAGCTGCAGAGTGAAACATTTCGTTTTGCAGTTTCCTTGTGGTTGCGATGGGTTCTTGTTGCTGTTCGCTGTACTTGTGCAGAGTGGAAAGAGGAAATCAGAAAATAAATCTTGTTAATTAGGGAGGCAAAGTGATCGCCTCCCCAATCAGTGCGTCAGAATCGCAATCCGGAATTACCGGTCTCGAGTCCTGGCCACACTTCGCACTTATCCCCTTAGTTCATTCCCCTATCTCCCTAGAATTAAAAAACTGGTTTTCCTCCAACCAGTAAGAGTATTACGATCTTTTAAATCCTGTCATTCTGTGTTTGATTCAATTCGATAATTTTTTTTCGGATTTTTGAAGAGTGGAGTGCCTATAAAATAGGCCGAAGCACTTATCAACCAAGAATTAAAGTTTTACAGTTTTAAGTTTTAAGTTTTACAACTTCAACTTTGTAACTCCTATCTCCTCTCAATAAAACTTCAAACACAAGCTTATGACAGCAGCAGTGGAAGAATGCTTGTGATTTTTAATATTGCCCTATAGCAGAGCCCATTAAAACATGCGGACAAAACGCGAAGGAAGAAAGCAAATTTTACCGGGATCTTGCACTTGTGTTTGCTGTTGTTGTGATTGATCTTGTTGTTGTTGTTGCTGCTGCTGCTGTTGTTGTTGATTTTGACCTGAAGTGAGTTACGGAAAAGACATTCTAAGGTCACTGTTCAGTATTAGAGTTGAGTATAGCAGGTTGATCTAATAAAGATTAAGAGTATAAGATGATAAAGCGAAGAGATTTCGACTCTCTCTCGATTGTCTTGATTCAGGTTATTGACAACGCCCTAGTAAACATATAACCAGAGTATCACGCCTTCCTTACCCCTCTCCCCCAAAAAGGCCTCGCTGAAAAGAGGCTTCTCCTACTAGTCTTGCTGGTCAAATTGTTGGACAATCGCTTGCAAAAAACTCACAATAGAAGTAGTGACGAGTTTCAAGTTGAATTTATTTTGAAAAGGTCTTCTGAAAAACATTGAAATGGCGAGTGAATAGTGTTTTGGGTAGTCTGTGTTGGCACTGCTCCCCTAAATAGAATTTCCTGGCATCTTATGTAAAATAACACACTTTTTCTCCATTTGAATTAATTCAATGTTATGACGCTGCTGTTATCAACGTGTTTTGTTTTAGTTTCAAAATACAAGCTGCTCTTTCATTAAGGTTGTCGAGCTTTTCTCATAACGTTCTAAGATAATGGCTAGCTTACCATCGTAAAACATTTTGGTCAAAGACTGCTCTACGTCAAGGATGTGCGACAGCGACTGAGTAAACCTATCGGGCTGAAATTTAACCAGAATTCTACATCAATAAAACAAGGTGAGCTTTGGGGCAAATATACCTAGTTGGGTCTAAATAACTTACCGGCTGACTCATGAGCCACTCAGTAAACTGCTGAACCTTTCCTTCTAATCCCTTGAAAAGAAAGACAAGAAAATCATGAGCTATGCAGCAACTGTAGTGGTGGCTGAGCACTCGATCGAATTAAGCTACGCTTCTGAATGATCCATGATGTCAGTAGGCTGCCCCCTTGAGTGATACAAGTATGGACTTGCAGCGGGCGTTCATTTGGGGGTTAAAAATTGGGCTGCAAGTTTCCAGTTAAGTTGTAGCATGGGACTGTACTGATTGCAGAGAAGAGGAAATTAAGACTTGGCGGCTACCTAAGGGAGATATTACAAAGACGTTTTGGCTACATTGAAGTATTAAGATAATTCCTATCAGTCATCCAGTGTTGAAGCTTATCTTTTCGAGTTTCGCTTAATATCTATCTTCTATTCGCTTTGGAAAAAAAAAAGGAAATGTCGAAAAGAATGTTGTAATTTTGTCCTTTTGAATGAGGAAGTAATATATGCACGGTAATATATGCAATATCAGTCTTTTACAAAATAAATAAATAAAAGGAAAAATAAAAACAAAGGAAAAACAAAGAAAGAAAGAATGAAATCAAAGTTCCTGCAAACCGTTTAAAAAATCCAGTAGGGAATTAAAGAAGGAAAGGGGGAAGGGGGTGGGGTTGGGGAGTTCTGTTTTGTGGAACGATGCGTTTAGATATAAACTAAAAAACTTATACTCATCTTGCCTTCAAAACATAAATAAATAAAAACACGGCCGGGAAACCTCTCTCAAATCCTTTCAAGAAAATCAAGACGAGAGTTAACAGGTTTATTGGGATTCTTACCGGCTTAAGACTTCTTGTTTCCTCCACTTTTTCCTCGCCTCCATCATCGGGGGCATTAATAGCGTTGAAAAGATTTTCGAGCTCTATGTAAAAAAAAAAGAATTGAAGAAAATATATAAAGAAAAAGTGCGAAGAAAAAAGCAATGAGATGGGTTTAGGACTTCTTTGCAGATGTGACGATGAAAATTATCAAACCTTTTGAGCCTTTAATTTTATCAGGTCTTATTACCTTTGATACTTTTTACAAATCTTCAACTTCAAATAGTAATGACATGTTAAGGAAAGTCATCAAGCAGCCGTAGCAACAGGACTCTTACAGATAATTTGCCTCTGGACTACTATTGCTACAACCATTCATATAAAAATAGTGCTACTCTGAAATGTCTTCAATTACGATTCAAAGTGACTACAAACTTTCAAAAACACTAACGTTATGAGTAGAGACTGAATTGACTTCACTAATGGTAAAAATCTCTTATTAATTCATGAAATCAATAGCAAATCTAGCCTGCGTCGCAGACGTACTTAAACCTCGGTTAGTAACGTCTGCAAAGCAGTGTCGAGATCCTTGTTCTGGGGCCCCCAACGGACTCAACGAATTACCGGAAGTGAGTTTAGAATTTCGTTTCATTCTGATTGGCAAATTGACAATTGCATTTTTAACAGACCAATCATGGTGCCTACTCAAATCCTGCTACACAGGTTGGGGCTCAGAACAAGGCTTTCGGCGCTGTTTCGCAGCCGGAGTTAACAAGAGTTTCGTTTCGTCTGTGGCGCAGGCTATATCAAAATAGGCACAATGGGAAAGGGGTTGGGGGGGGGGGGAGAGTAGGGGATGAACTACTCACCCTGCCTGTCAGCATCGGATATTTTGGAGTCTCCCTTCCAATCATCTCTGATTATATATCCTATAAATCAATCGACAGCACCTGAATCAATACAACTGCTGAGTTATTAACTAGCAAGAACTTCTCATTATCATATTTCACATTTTTGGTAGGCTGAAGGTGTATTTACAGAGTTGATTTAAGTTCTCATTCTTGCTTAAAACACATTTTGATCGCTTAATGTTGACTTTGAAAATATATATATTTAGTAAAATCCAACAAGTGGTCTATTAACAATGCTGCGTTCTGATTGGTTGAGCAACTACTAGGCTATATGTTATAGCCCACTAGTAGCGAAAAGCGCCGGCTTTTTGGCGTCAAAAAAGGATTAAAGTCTAGCTTTAAATAGCTTAAGTTGTCTTATCTCGATATTTTTGACCAACTAGTTGGATTTTACTAAAACAATTATTCCTCTCGCCCTCATGGCCTCTAATTCAATAGCCCATTCAACCTTCGACCTCATGGGCTATTGACTCAGAGCTCATTCGGGCTCAGTCGAGGAATAATTTTAAATTTTTTTTTTAACTTTGACGAAATTGAATGTGGCGGCCATTGAATGTAAAGGTAAATTGAATGAAAATGAAGGCCAAAGGACTGAGATAAGAAAAGACCTCTAGAAAGACAACATATCATGGTTATTTTAAATATATCATTTCTAGTTTTCTAAAAGCATTTCATACGTTTTTGCGCCAAAAGAATATTAGGTAATGATTTTTGGCATAGCCTTATAATTATGATACTTACGATATCTGCTTGCAATTTGCAACTTGCAATTAACAGTCACAAATTATATATCAAAATATGTTCATGTATTAAATAAACAAGAAAAGTTGTCCATTGGATAAAACCTCTAGTTGTTGAGTATCGAGTGTAGAAAACATCCCGCCCATTCTACGCCCAGAAGATAAAAACTCTAAAAACATTGTCACTTCTTCTGTTTGAACGTCTGATCCCAAGCAGTTCACGAGAAAACTGCAACATGGATAATTAAAAGAAAGCCTAATTCTTATACCTGTGTTATCAGCTCCTTCGTCAAAAGACCTCTTTTTCTCTACAAAATTAGAAATACAAGGATATTATTGCACATTAATCAAGAATGCCGTAAAACGTCTACGCCCTCCATAACCATATACTTTCATTACATTCTAAGCATGTTATAGAGCTGAAAGGTTTCTATTTTCTCACCTCTCCTTTCCTCGGATCGAGACAGCAGTGCTTGGAAAAATGCATCTGTTGAAAAAAAATTTATATATATCAAAATAATGAACTCTAAGCATTGTGCACACTTTGAAAAATAATACCAAATATGAAATAATAAGAATTTAAAAATGTCATTAGTCGTTTGTGACTTAAGATTTGCGAAGTAGGAGGAACAGTAGAAATCTGTCCTAACAGTAAATAGGCCGGGTTGTTCAAAGATGGATTAAGATAACCCTGGATTAGTGCGAAATTAAAAATCAAACATAAAAGCTTTTAAAGCAAACAGAAGATAGAGAAACCCAAATTAAGATTTAACCGCGGCTTAGCGCTGATCGGCCGTCGAAAAACTAAACTAAATAGTTGGGACACTTCCACCCAATACTGTTCTTTCACTTCTGACCCGTCTCCTCGTCCTCCCGATGTTATTTTTCACAGTTAACTCACCAAATCTTGCACACCAAAATTTGGAGAGCAAGAAGACAGAAAAGTGGCCCAACAATTTTGACTGAGACTTCTGGCCCTGTTGGCTACCACCGCGATATGGTTTCGCGCACGCGTATTGCACCTCAATGACTCAAAGTGCGCGCTTGTTGTTACATAATAGCGAAGCAAACTCCAGCTCGGAATGATTCAAAGAATTAGTGGGGCTGTTTTACAGCATTTGAGTGCCTTTTATTAAACCGATTATAATTGTTAATTACGTTATTTATATCAAAGCATCGCTTACCCTCCTCGGCTGCTCGTTTTGCCCTTTTGTTGATTGCTGTAATGATAAAAGATTAGAATAAAACCACTTTTATCCTTACCTAGCAACAAATGCCGTATGCATAGCTATTTTGTTTAAACGAGGACGTTATTCCATTAGACAAAAGGAGCCACGTTTGCGGCAAACGGCAAGCATGAATTTTTACCGACTGCACGTGACCAAGTTTTCCTCAGTTTTACCTGTCTTTTACCGATGTTTACTTCTACCTAAAAATAAGTATAGTTTCACGTTGTTTTCATCGATAAGAATTGTTTTAGACTGTTTCATCTGCTCATTTTCTATTTTGAGGAATTCTCAACTTGAATCTGATGTTTGCCGTTTTCCATAAACGTAACTCTCATTCTCTCTAATATGCAAAACTATAATAAACTTTCACAAAGTCAATTTGACTACTCCATACAGACTATCAAAAATTACCCTCGGTTGATCGTTTTGTTTCTTTATGGGACTTTTCTTGAGGTTCGTCATCTTCATCTACATCTCCTCGAGCCACTCGGATGAGTTCTTTATCCGAGTCATCTACTACCTCTGCAGTTTTATGACCTCCTATCAAATGAGTAACAAGAGGAAGAAATTCTCAACTGCCCATAGCCTGTTCAGGAGCATTAGCCACAGGCGTTATTTTTAATGTTTTTTTTTTAGGCGAGAGAAGGCAAGCGCCAAAAAGGCGTGGAGCGCTAGACATGCACACGCGACGAGGAAAGGCAAACAGCGCACAACAGGTGCATCATATCGCTGATCATACACTTTTAATTACAGCCTGGCATCTTGTTTTGCAACACACCATGAGTTCTTTGCTTGACTAACTTATCCATTAACTCTGTGGCCTTGTTCTATTAATAATATGATCATGGAACTGAGTGGAGTCCGATGCGGTCTGTAATCATACAAGCAAGCATTAAACAGACTGGATTGGAAGACATGCACGAAGTTCTTTTACCAGTTATTCTTAATTTAAGCATTTTGAAAATTTAAACACAAGATCCTTCGAGGGCTTTTATTCTTTTTAATGCTGAAATCAGCGCTGATGATACCCAATCAGATTAGAAAACTTGTAAAAGTTATGATTAAACACTAGTTACAGCGACAGAAAATGCTCTTCAGTACTGTAGACAATCCTCATTAAGCGCAGAGATGTCGCCCATAGCTAGTTGCCTGTGTGACAACTATCCTTGACAGCTTGTGTGCAGGCACAACAGTGATCCAACAAATGAACGATGGACAGTTATAGACGCCCCAGTTACGACCCTGCCTCAATACCAGTAGACTGCGAGTGGTCTCTCTTTTGCTCGAAAATCTGAGAGAGAGTGAGAGCGAGTGCTATATGTGAGTATGCCAGCAGAGAAGCCCCGAGCAGCAACTTATGGCACAGCTTACTCCTCCTGGCTACGCCACTTGCATACTCGCATATCGCACTTGCTCACAGATTTTCGTGCAAAAGAGAGACTGCTCACAGTCTGCAACACCAGTCATTTACGGCTATGTGAAAATGACGGATTATTAGGGCATCATCTGGGGATTAACATTTTACTAGTAAATTAGATCATGACGAGAGTACATGTGTTATACTGTCTTAATTCTTAAAGCTGTTCTTTGAAATGGGTTTACAATATTAAGTCATAAGAGTGAATTTTAACACTGTAGCGTTGCTCATGGCAGCTTTAGTTGTAATGACTAGTCTCATCGAAGAATTGAGCACGAAGTCAAAATTTGGACACATTGAGTAGTTACAGTGAATTCCAGTGAGCACCCAGATCGGCCAAATTAAAAAGTCAAAAGATATCATATTTGAACCAGTTCAAGGCCGCACCCTTAAATTACCGAATCAGCTTCAGGTTACAACTACACCATTTGCACAAATAATTCACTTGTAAAGCAGCCAAGAATTAAATAACTCTTTGTCGGACATCCAAAATAGAATGATTGTAAATATAAGTGCCAGATAACTCTTTCTGACGAAAGCTGAATAACGTAGGTTCAATTATTCAAGCGTGTTTAATTTTATGGCGAATAAAAATTGAGATTCTTACCCTGTGGGTGTGGTCAATTTTCGAACCGAATCACGGACAATTCAACATTCTTTAACCAAACTGAGATCACACGAGAAATCATTAATATTGTTCACGCGAGAAAAATATTATCACAGGAAAACTAAAAACCGTGAGAAGTCGGTCACAAGTTGATTATGCGCTCCAGTGCGCTTAAAGAGTTTCTGATTTGGACGAACACCGAGTTTTTAAAATTGGTCGCGACAGGAGATAAAGTATGCATTTATTTTTGGGTTGGTTGTCAGGTTAAAAGAAGTTTTCTTGAAGCCTTTAAGATTCAATTCTAATCTAAGTTTAGTTTAATTTTCATTTATTTTTAGGGCATAAACAGCAAACTGCACGATAATGTCATATGATGAGAAAAACAATCATAATCATCAGCAATTGTCAGCTCGTCGATCAAATCAGCTCCAGTCTGGTCAATTTTCATCAGGTTTGTCAATTTCTAGTTGAAAACTCTAATAAAGAATCCGAATGAATCCAAAGGAAGTTTTTTATTTCCAATAACCTTTAACTTGGAAAAATAATTGAGTTTGCATTTAAGTGCCGGAACTAGCTGACTGGTGGCAATGTATTCTGGGGCAGAACAATATTTCAAACACAGAGTTATGGAAGCATATCGTGTTCCACTTGACAACTTTAAACTCATGTCCAACTGAAACGCAGAGCTTCAGAAATGCGGTATGTAAAAACATTACCACTTAGCACCATTAAAAGAGTTTCCTACCTGATCGGTGATAAAACAGTAAAGTCACCACTAACGGGCCTTGTCTATAAATTAGTACATTAATCTGCAAGGTATGACTTATGAGTTGAGAGAATCTATCACTAGCTTAGGAATACTTTCAACTTACTTTTAGACGGCCGTGAATATCCTACTGCACAAAACCCAAAGATGAGAATTACTACCGGTATCCTCATAGTATTAATTGGGAAAAAACTTTTTCCCAATTTTCCCCAGTTCTACATCCAAGTTTCGGACATGAAAATTTCCGATCTTTGCTAACACCAGAAATATCACACTCTACGCTCTGATTGGTGCAAAGGTAGGTAAAATAAACACGAAATCCGATATTCATGGTACCAGCCCTTGTTTTGGCAGGTGAAGCGTTGTTATTGGTTGATATGGATGAGGTAATGATTACGGCGCGAGAAAATGACGTTATTGATTAGACATTTGGCAGTTTATCGCACCTTCGATACTCACACAATTAACTTATTTTCTTGTTAAAGACAAAATTATATCGACAATAACAGCATTCTACTTGATTGCGGCGAAATACTTCTAGAGTCAACCCGACAAAAAGCCCTTCATATAATATTGTAGAAATTCGGACGGTTGGACAAAATAAGTTATGCAATCAAGCGTGGCTAGACATTAATCGATTCTGTTAAAACGACGAATCTTGTGACATAGCGAAAATGCAATTGAGACATTTTTAAAAACGGGTATAAACTAACTGTTCCCAAAAGAAAAATGTTTTGGGCGTTACTGTTATTAGTTCTAATTGTATTGCTGACGTCTTTCACATACATCTACACTAACACGTCTGGGGTTTCAAGGCTTGCTTCATTTTTTTCATCTCTTTATTCCAAAAATCGCTGGCTTTGAACCGATTGTTTCCTTCTCAGTTTTTCCTTTGATTCACCTAAAGGTTGCTCTGCATTCCGAATCTAAATCAGACTAGAGCAATCGCGTGCCAGATCCCAATCGTTTGTTTCGCGGCTAACGCGCGTTTCCTTTTTTTTCCGCATTGGAAACCCTTGATTTTGCTAGGTTCAAATAAACAAAATGTACTTGTTCTATAAGGGTAAAAACACTAATCATGTTACCTGATCATGTTATGTTTGCAAAGCACTATACACTTTAAAACTGCTGAAAAATCAGTGACTATCAATTTTTAACACGGTAAATTGAATTTTGCAATCGACCCCGTTAACTCGAACCCTAGCTTGATCAAACTGTTTTTCGTTTCCCTTCACGGTTCGAGTTACCGGGCTTCTACTGTACTTAAAAACGAGAGCTTGAGAAAACATGTGCAGGCTATGGGCATGCCTTTTGCCCTTTCGGCTCTGTGTACACGCAAACTACCCGACCCATACAAAAGAAAACGTAACTGTTGAAGTATGAAAAAAAAAGTTTTTATTGGACTGTATTGATCTCTACCCTACTATATACAAAATGAAAATAGTTCGTTTAAAATTTACAATGTATTTACTTATAGAACTTTAGGCATGTTGAGTGCTTGGCAATAATCAGTGCACGACTTTAACAGGGGTGGTGTGGATTGTTTGAACCGCGGGGCCACGTGACGTTCTTGCACCTGTTGAGCGAACTTGTGGTGCCCGCTGACCATGAGGGTAACGTATTGGGGGAGCTCCTGAGGCGGCCTGCTCTGATGAGTGCTTCTCAATTAGAACTGAACTGACAGGCCCTTGAGTGCCTACAAGACCTGTAATTGCAGAAGAATGAATCGGTAACCTTACACAGGGTTCACACAAAATACTGCAACCATTTTTTAAGAACTTTTTAAGGGCCACATTAGATTTTCAATGGACTACCTACTAGGAATACATTTTACAGATTGTACAAAAATGCACATTCCAGTCTATTCTAATAAGGCTTTAAAGGCTTGAACTGTTTGCTTCACCAACTTCTCTACATTTTTCATTTTACTTGTCTTAAATTAAGCACTTTATGTAAATAACCTTGTTGATACGACAAAAGAAAGGGAAAAGCCGGGCCGAATGGTCTTTAACAGATACAAACTTGATTGGTGAGAGGTAAGGGTTCAATTTTTTCTGTAAGTCATAAGAAAAATATCGTGAACAGGGTGGCAAATACGCGGTTTGATTGTACGTTTAAAGCCTTAACAGATCCAAAAATGATACAAAAATCAGTTTGACTTGTTTAATCCGAGAAAATTCACAATTTCAAAAAACTAATGCAGATTTTCCAATAGAAGGCATCTTAAGTAAGTTGTGCAGAATCAGCGTGTGCTGCAAGAAGTGGATACATAAACGGAAATCACAAATAGTTGAAAAACAAAACTACAAAAAACAACAACAACAACAACAACAAACAAACAAACAACCATGAACAGTCTACACACCTGCAGTGGCCTTTTGTCCTTGAATGTCTGATCGACAAACAGCTTTCACTGTGACAGTCTTTCCTCCTAATTGACCTGGTCTCTCTGCTGAAGGCCTCTGTCTGGAAGGCACGTAACCAAACTGCTGCTGCGTGACTGATTGCCCAGATGTCGTGACAATAGGAAGTGGAGGTTGACGACGTGGCATGTCTTCTGTATCTGACAAAAACAGCAGTACCGTTTATGTAATACGTAACGCCATAAGAAACGCGGCAAAAAACACAGACGCCAACTCTTTTCGTAAAGGTAATTTACATCACTGGCCAATCATTTATCGAGCTGTTTACATATAATGTATTTGACTCTGTTTTCTAGAAGTGCTATCTCTCTCATTGGAACTGTTATCTAAGTGTACTGGAGTAATTATATGAAAGTAGATCATCGCAGTTATAGACGCCTTTTCCAGTTGCGAGAAGAAAGCCTGAAAAAAATTCAGGCTTGTACGGGATTCGAACCCTTGACCTCTGCGATACCAGTGTGGCGCTCTTACCACTTGAGCTAACAAGCAAACTGGGAGCAGAATTGGTTCGTTATAAACCCGTGAGAGGATGGAACTGGAACTAGAACTGTTATTTTAGTGATATTTTAGAGTCAAACAACGTAAATAGCCAAGTGGTTGCCTCCTAACAGTTGGGATTTTTAATTTAGTTATGTTACGTTTGGATGATTTGTTCGGCTCTTACTATTTGAATGGAGTGCCTGTAAACTAGCTGGATAGGCTAAGTACCCTCTCCACTATAAACAAACCTTACACCTTTAGCCGTTAACGTTGCAATATATCCGCTTTGTTTCCAGATACAACTAAGAATACAATACTGTACCTGAGAAAGTTCCGTCACTGCTGCTAGCAGGTGGTGGGGGTCTTCTTCCACCCTCTTCTCCTTCTCTAAACATGCTCATGGCCTCAAGATTGAGAGCACACACTCCACGCATGAATGCTTTCTTCATGGTTTCTTCATAACGCTCCCTCTCGGCATGAAGGCGAGCAATCTCCGTTCGCGCCATCTCGAGCTCACGGTTAGCCTAAAACATGAACATCCGCTCATTACAATCTTTCCCCATTTTTGAAGGAAGTGTAAAAAGTCTCTCATAAACTATAGTCTAAACGGATGTTAACTACAAACGTATTTCAACATTATTTACCCAGTTTAACATGAAAGTAACATCACAGATGGTGAAGAAAAAGTATAGTCGCAAAACCCTAAAGAGATGATTGACTAAGCATTTCCTTTGGTAACAGAAGCCTGCAAAAATTACTCTTTATTCTACTGCACATCGAAAACGTACCGTTTGAAGTCGACTTTCATAATCCTCCGTTAACTTCACGCACACGTCTTGAGCTTTGGCCTTTGAAAAGATGAATAAAAACTTCAAATATTGAAGCGTGCACGATGTAAAGCTTTCATTTGGGAACCGACCGCCAAAATTCGACAAGGTGTTAAATAAACACTGCTACTTAGTGTCGAATTTAGTTTAAACTGTTTTGTCTGAAGACAGTTATGATAAAGTCATGCAAGAGCTCACCTGACAAGCTTTCTCTACTCTTTGTTTCCATTTGGATTCAATAACAGAACGCCAAGCAGTCCAGGTACGTGACTGAAGGGTGTGGTTATAGTGTCTCCGGGCAAGCTTGGAAGCAAAACCCTGAAGAGGCAACCACAACAAAACAGGTCATTTGAATTGATTCAGTTTTAAAATCATGAATGACAGGGGGGTTCATTAAGGTTTTGAACAGGAGGGCAATAGAGTACTAAAGTGTGACGTCATAAAAATGAAATTTCTGAAATTATGGGATTTGTCAGGATATTCTGAAAGAACAATGTCCAAGAGGCCTACTTGCCAAAAATGAGCATTTCGCGGCAAATTGTCTCTGAGATCTTAACCCAGTTATGCTTACAAAACTCCATACAAACCCTTCTAAATTTTTTTTGGGTCGACCCAACCGGGCAAAGTCGTGTTCACAGCCGGTCAATTTGCCCGGTGCCCGGCCCTTAATGAACCCTCTGTGAATGTCTGTAAGAAAAGTGTTCCCGTTTACGAAAACTTATAACTTGATTGTCCACTTTGAACAACAACAAAAAACTCAAAAACAACTAACACATACATAGTTCAAAAAGCTCTAGTTCGTAATGGAAATGAGAAGTTAAGCGACTAACCTCTCTCTTTTCATCACAATGCCGTAGTTTCCACACTGTAAAAGCCCTTAGCAGCTCACTTCTTTCTTTCTGTGGTAGAACATGCAGGTCAATATTGAGTGTAAAGACAAAACAAATATTTGGCTTTTGTATATACGAGGGTAACGCAAGCAAAAAACAAAGACATTTTTATGGCTTAGGAGCATTTCTAGAGTAGGCGGCCACTTGTTTGAGAACTTTAAAGAAAGAGGGGTATTAAACACACTAGGAACGTTTTCTATTCCACGAGATGCAAATTCGTGGCTGGCCTGGGTATGAGATTTATCTCTCTAATTTCTGTAGCATTTCTGCAATTATCACTACAACTGACAATGAACCACAATTGAGTCTTTGTGAGACAGGGTCTGCTCTTAAGTGAGTACAAACTCTTTTCCATTTTATTCATCAGTTTAAAAGGCGGTTATTATCACTACAACTGACGCTGAACCATTCAACAAACCTGTTTTTGAATAGCATTAGTGACATTTGCCACAATTGAGTCTTTATGAGACAGGATCTGTTCATAAGTGAGTAATAACTCTTTCTGACTTTCCATTTCATTCATCAGTTTATTCATTTCAACACCGTGCCTGTACAAAAGATCAAGAGAAAGAACTTAAGGATGGTTTTCTCTAGGAACGCAGTCGTAACGGAGCGCATGTGACCTAGTAAAAATCAAAAATTGGAATCGTAAGCGAGTCATAAGCGCGACGGGAGTCGGAGTCGGAGTCGGAGGAGTAGAGCGTTCCCAATATCGTTTGATTCCACGTTTGACTCTTACGAAACCGGATTATCGTATTCGGAAGCGGTAGCGGCAGGATAAACCAATGAAAAGCTCGTTCCGATACTTTGAAATTTGCTCAGTTCTTCCGCTTCTACCTCCAACTACAGCACTGACCTTGTAGTTATGTTTTCACTCGATCGTAAAGCTCTACGCTTCTGATTTAGACCCGACTCCGTGGCTAGGAAAATAGTAACCAAACAAGCTACCTAACACATCCAAACAAGCCAATATCTAAACATCGGGCTGAAAATGACAAAAGGCGTACTGGACATACCGTAAATCCTCTATTAAGCCCCCGGGGCATATTTATTTCAAGCCCATTTAAGGGGGGGAGGAGCTTAATAGAGACGGGAGCCTTATTTAATTCAGAAATGACGATGGTATCAGTTTCCCATAAAGAACTAGAATACAAAGTGGAAAAGCTGAAGTACAAGAAGTTTTAGGTCATACAGCGGAGGATCAGAATCAAATCCGAACTTCCAGTTGGTAAATAAACCCTCCCGGATCAGTCCACATTATCCATACAAAAATTTACATTCGTGAGTGATTAATACAGTCTATCATTTATTTGTGAAGAATAATTAGGGGTGGGGGGGGGGGGCGCTTATTAACTTTTTTCTTCTGAAAAGGGGGGGCTTAATAGAGGATTTACGGTAAGGACTTATGCCACTGATCTAAGCACTGAACCAAACAGTGGAAATTAGACCTACCTTATTTTTGGCATGCCCCCTTCTGCGTTTGCTTTGTGCACCAAACCCGAGAGAATTTAATAGTGCTCTAGTGCTCGTGTACCCCCCCGAAAACGCCTGCACTGCTCACTGCAAGTGTTACGCAGCGAAAATAAGGGAAGAGACTTTCGAAATCTGGTAGCAACAAACGTTTTTAACCTCATTGCTGTTACGTTTCTAAGGTCAAATAAGTGAATTAAATCGCTAAGTTTGATTCATGACGGTCACTGTATTAAAATAAGGAGCGTGACATAACTTTCTGAAATTTACATAATGTCACATGACTTGCATCACAACACTGCACTACCTACAGAGTTATCTCTTATGTTGAACTATCAGAATGGCTTTAGATTTGCAAAGAATACGTCTTACAGACGACCATACTTTGGAAACTGCCTCTGAGGTAATGCAAATGCTGAAGATGGATCAGCGGCTACCAGATGGAAGAGAATCGTATTTACAGTTGTTAGAGGACCTTAACTTCCGCAGTAACCAAGATGGCGGTGAACAACACACCCAGTTCGTTTTCCAAGGACAGTGCATGATACTGGGAGATGCTAGAGTGGGTAAAACAAGCTTAAAGAAGTCACTAATAGGACAAGGGTTTGATGCTGAGGAACCGAGGACAAAAGGTGTAGAAGTTAGCTTAGTCGATCGGAAATGGAAAACTTCGGATCCCACGACTGGTCTCAGCTTTGGAAGCTTTTCTCGGTTTACAGAATCTGCTCTTCTCGAGTTTGCCATTTATTGGCCAGGCGGAGCTGAATTTGTTATAACTGAAGACTTGACTTTCATTTTTTCTGCTGGCAGGTTTTTGTTTACACTTGGAATAATTAGCTGGGTTATCTTATTTATGTGGCTACTCTCTTTAGCTGAGATGTCTGTTACCTTTTGTGGATTTTCTTTGAGTACATTTGTAATAGCAATTTTACTTCACTTTATTCGCTTAGAAGACCCAGAAGTTATCACTTTGTTTTGCATGATTTTCACTATTCGTCGTTTCATAGTAGGGTTAGGGACTGCATATCTGCTGCCAGGGCTTCTTAAAAGCATAGAATGTAGCAATCTCAAATTCTCGTTATCAGGAGATCGACAATACGCTTCTTGTATCACCCAGTATGTCTGGGTGGCCCACTTATTAATCTTCGCAGCAATGTTTGGTTATATCTTTCTCAGAGTGTCGCTAATGAAGAAGATTAGGTATTATTATAATTTCGTCAATTTATCCGGGGTCGATTCAACAGTCCCTGGACAAGTGATATTTGAAGATTCGTTACCTATTTTCCCGCTAATTGTACTCTTTATTGTACCTATCATAAGCGGTTTTACTTTTGGTTGCATTATTGGCTTGTCAACTGAACCTTCTGAGTGCACATATTGTAAAATTATTCACTATACAGCGATTTCACTTTTTTGTTATTCAATTTACACGTTTTCAGGAACATTACTGTCGTGGGTCAATCGGCAAGGTCAAGTCGCCCTTGTCTTATTTCTTTACATATCAATGGAGAAAGCAGACTTGAGCTTATTTTCATTTTGTTCATTTTCTATGTATGTGGCAATGTTTGCTGTATGGGCCTGCCAAACTTTGTATAAAGATTGGGATGACATGTTCTCTCTCTTAACCAGTATGGGCAACATTAGGGAAACAAGAGCTAGTTTTACTCTCATACTTATAGAGAAGTGTATATTGAATTTTCGGAAGCTAAAGTTGGCCCTTCAAAATAAATTTTGCAGTGTTAAGCTGAAACTCCTGGACTTTGCAGGTGATGAAGAATATTACGCTTATCATCATATCTTCATGAGAGATCAAGCCATCTATATTGTTGTCTTTAAAATGGCAAACTTTGCAGACAACAATTTCAGAAACATTAAAACAAAAATCCAAAGACTTCGTTTCTGGTTGGAATCAATCTGTAGCAAAGCAAAACCCAAAACACCAATCTTCCTTGTTGGAACACACAGAGGACATATGGACATAATCCACCTAAAAAATATTGACAAACATCTGCAACAACAACTAATGCACTCTTTCAGTGATGAGTTGGTGATGAATAAGGAAGACAAGCTTTCGTACTTCCCCACTGAGAACACTCTGGGAAGAAAAGACCGAGGAATTCAAAACCTTCAGAAAGAAATAATGTCCACAGCAGAGGACCTCAGACCAATTATGGGAAGGGAAATTCCATATTCGTGGATAAAAATTCAAGATGCAATAATCAATCTAAGTGAGAACAGGAATGCAAGGTTTTGTGTGCCACTGAGACAGTTTCCAGTTTCAGTTGGGAACTTCATTTGTACCAACTGGAGTAGGGAAACTTTGAAGTACTTTCACGAGAAAGGACTGGTGATATATAATCATGAGAGGCAAGATTCTGAACTGTCCAGTTGGATTTTGCTGAGGCCAGCTATACTGGTAGACATCATCATTCAACTGGTGTCGCCACTTACAGATGAAGAGGTGTATTTTCAGCGGGGTTTCAGGCGTGATTGGAAACTACTCCATGATACTGGAATGCTCACAGAATCCCTTCTAAAACACATTCTCTCCAGATTCCAAGAGAATGAAGAAGCAATGAAAGGTTTTTTGGAGGAATATGATTTAATTTGTCCTCTGTTCTTCAATGCGACTAACCAGGAGGAAGAAGCACAAGTCACACACTTTGTTCCTTCACTTCTGCCAATGGCGACCGTGACAACACCAGTCTGGTTTGATGGTCCTTATGACAAGACGTTTTACGTGTTCTTCAATCGATTTCTACCACAGGCACTCTTCCAGCATCTTCTGTCACGTGCACACAGAAACAGCAAAGTAGAATTTGCTCATTGTGAGCCAGTTATATGCCAGGATGTGGGCAGGTTTTGGTTGTGGCCCAACCAACCATACAGGCTTTTACAGCTTAAGGATGAAGACATGATTGAAGTCAGATTCACTTATAAGAGGTTAGTTTAATAATTTTCATGTTTTCTTTTGACAACAGGCTCGTAGATTTGTATACTGCGGGTAAAGCAGAGAAGGTTTTTATCATAAGAGAGACTACAGTAGGTTGCATCACTTGCTCATTAGTTTGCGCCTAAATAGGACGCATTCTGTGAAATAATTTCCACACCGATGGATGAAAATTCCTTCAAAAAAGCGTTTGTAGTCGAAGAACCAAAACATTTTGCTGTTTTGCACGTGGCGCAAACAAAATTCAAACTAAAGAATTATAAATTCTTCGGAGTCTTTATTCTTTACGGAGGTATTAGAGAATCTAAACATAAGGTATCAGAGCATCCTAGAAGTCTTCAGTTCGAAGGGGTGTAAACGTTAGTTTCGTAACAAAGCGCTTGAGTTTGTAAGCTTTTGCATGACGCGGAAGTTAAATGGCAGCCAAAATAGCTGACATACAGGTTTAAAAGTAGCCTCCCACGCAGGCGTTTTTAGGGGAGCTCGTTTTTCATCTCCCCTAAAAACGCCTGCGTGGGAGGCTAGTTTAAAAGAGACTTATCTTTTGAAATAATGCTATCTTGACAGTCCTTGATCCACAGTAAGTATAACGTTAATGTTTATGAGTTCCTCGAGTGATGAATTAGCAGTTTCGTTGTAAAACTTAAAGATGTTTTAGTTGGATTGCGGCCGCTATATTTGTGCCGGCCTCAGAGAGGTACCAACACAGCGTGTCAATACAAAGCACGTAGCTGGGGGCGGGATCAGATTGGGTTGGTGCTTTTGAACTGAGGATCTGCTGCACTAAGCGGCGAAGAGGAAAGGGAAAATACCGTCTTCCTCATTTCCTATGGTTTTGTCACCCACTTTGTCACAAAACAAATGAGCGGCATGACCTGTAAGATGAAAACTATAACTATTACCTTGCAAAAAAATACTCATGCTAGAAAATCTTTAAAGAATTTTTCGCTCACTGAACGTAAGATTGGTGTTCTCTCTCTTTACACGATGTAGTTCCCTTGTAGCGGGCGAAGTTAGTTTTATATTAATCAGCTTTAAGGGGTGAAGTAGAGAACCTTAGATTCGGGTATTGGAAAACATCGTATGCAACAGACTTATCTCAAGTTATGAATATATGAAAATCATATATGTGAACTGCGAGGTGAAGAATTAAATGAAAGTAGATCAATTCTTTTTCAGGCTTTCTTTTCGCACTAAACTGCAAAAGTTGCGTCTATGACTGTGATGATCTACTTTCCTATAAGACGTATCTCAAATTGACTCTCTTCATTTTTCTCGCGGCTTTACAGCCTAAACAAAAGCAACAGCTACACAGGCTAACCCCTAAATTTAGATAAAGGATTTTATCTCACAAAGGAAAAGTTGCATCTACCTGATTCTTGGCGTGGCTATTTACCTATTATATTTTTTCTTCCATTTCAAAAAAAATTGGAGGAAGTACTTGAAACACTGTCAGTAGAGCTATCTATCCCTAACTGTTAAAAAAAAACTGCCCGTATTTGGTATTAAATAGCTAGACTAAGAAATGATACTCCATTTCACAGGGAGGGACAAGAGATGAAGCCATCAGCTGTACTGGCTCACATTTTCAGCATGGTCAATGGGATTTGTAAGCAACATTTTCCTTACATCAAGTTTCACTGTGGCCCATTATGCCCCTCAGAGAGGTGCCCTGGACATCAAGGAAGTTATATACCACACCCTGGGGTGCAGCAATTATATTTTCGACGCCATGTGATCAATGTGTTGCCTGCCCGCCAACAAGCTGTTATTTCTTCATTCTACTGTGTTAATGACAACTTTGAAGAGCAATTGAGGGAATGGGTAGAACACTATGATGACTGAATGAAACGATTTCTTTGGTTTTAAAAAGATATTGGGACAGTTTGTTACTGACAGGGCTGTCGTTAAGAGGCAGGGACTGGGGATTTCCCCAGCTACTATGATTGTGGCCCCCAAGTGCTCTCAAAGGAAAATAGAAGAAAAAGAAATAAAAACCAGAAGAAAAAGAATAGAACCAAAAGAAACCCCTAGCTGTTTGATTCTCTGCCTACTTGTTGTATTTACCCAGCAACTTGAAATCTTAGTGACAGCCCCGTTAACTGTATCAAAAGCTGGGCATATGTACCAAAAGGGTCAATGGCAGCCTATAGAATGTAACCTTAAGAGTCAGCATTAACAACTGTAGTAGGAGTTTATATCAAAACTGAACGCAATATAACCGAAACGGCAAATGATGTTGTACATGATTGCATGCTTTACATCACTGTCTTAGAATGGTCCAGCTGTCCTGTATGGACACCAACTTTGTACTTGGCACTCGACTTTTTGATTTGTGTTTATTGTTGTTGATGTTTTGAAAAGTTAAACAAAAAAAAAGGTTCTGCAACACCACAGGTATATATTTTATGAAAACAATTAATTCAAGTGTTGAATTTATCGTTACATGTACATGTATCTTAGAATGACACTTACCTTCAGTATAAAAATTACAAAATCTATTGTTTTCCCTCTTTTCATAATTTTTGAAACAAATGTTACTTTTACAATCATATACAGTAGATGACAAAATTTAGAGGCGCCAGCCATGGTTTAGTTACAATTATATCAGTTTATGATGAGGTGGAATCCACATAAGCATTCCCAAGTAGCAGATATGCTTAGTGAAAAGGTTTTTATCTTCAACAGATCTTACTGTAATTGAAGCAAAATATAATTATCTAATTTCTAGACTATCTTCTACCAGGGACATTTTATCAGCACCCAGGGTTCTCAATAGATTTTTAAGTAGGAGGTGATCACTGATAAAGTAGGAGGCTCTTCAGCAAAGCCAGAGGTGTCAAAACAAAGCAAAGAAAAGCGACTTAAACACAAAGTAAGCGGCTATAAATCCCAAAGTAAGCGGTGATCAATCGCCGGGTGCCGCCTTCTATTGAGAACCCTGAGCACCTACATGTACACTCTGTAGTACATATTGTCTGTTACACTGCATTGTTAACCAAAGTGGTTCTGTTACATTGGAACTAGGGAAGGATACAAATCAAGATCAGTGATCCAAGATAACTTAGATCATGTTACATCAAATGAACTGATACATCGTTTCCCAAGGTGGATTTGTCGGATACTTTGATGCAGTACAGCTGTGGGTGCATGATAAGAATGACCTCAGATCACTGATCCTAATTTGGATCACCCCAGTGGAATGCAACCTTTATTTTAAGTTGAGAACTACCTGACAGTACAATGTAAAGAATGCACATTATACTGCTTGGGAAATGATACATGTACAGATTCAAAGCATTGTGCTGAAGGGGATTTGTTTTTCAGGTCTCTTATTCCTCTTCCAAGAGCTTTCTAGATCATTAAATTCTTGCCAAATTATTATTTTTATTAAAAATTATTTTACATTTGTTGGATGTTTTTCCTTTTTTAATTTTTTTAATAGTAACCTTATTCTTTTCTTAACATCATTTGTTTTCTTGTTATTTTGTCTTCTTTCTTTCCTTCTTTCTTGTTCTTTTTTTTTTTTTTTTTTTGCAAAATTAATGTCATCTTCAAGTGCTCAGGAGGAAAACTTCTTACCCCAAATCCTACATGTATAATGTACATCTAAGATTGATCTATCCATATGGTGGATTATGTCACTGATTTATGATCAATCATCCTTACCAAATGATTATGTGGTTTTGATATACACTGTAACAGTGTGCAAGCATTCTTGAATCCTGCATTTTGCAATAATTACATGTGCATTAAATTAAGAACATTTCTGAAAATAGTACCTACATGATTGTACATTTTGGGGATTTAAAACAATGTACAGTACCTTCTCTTCTCCTGCATCAAAAGCTGCTTTTGTTTTTCAAAAAGACCCATCTTACATTGAGCAAATTCAGCCTGTGTTGTAAAAAAACAATACCTATGAATAAATGATGGACATGTACCGCATAATATAATAAATTCAAACTACTTTATAAATGTACACTGTATATGGACACTAGTCTAATTCCAGATTTGTTGATACTGGGTTGGGGGTTGTTTAACCTTTTTTTACTGTTAGTAGAAAAACACAGTGCAGGTAGCAAAAATGAGGAAAAACCAGAGTGACATTTTCTTCTTTGGATAGGGAGATTGGCTGCCTATAATGGCAATTTACATTTACAGGTGTATGTGATACTCACAGACAAAAAGTTCTAACAATTTTGATATCAAAATTCACACTTGGGTCAGAGGGCTAGGGGATGAAAACAAAAGATATCACTTTGAGGCTCAGGGACAACAATCCATTATTTTCTACTGTTTTATTCCTCTCAAGCCTAAGAGCCTTGACGAAAAATATATATTCATGTACATTTGACCCTCCCTTATTCAAGAGGCCAGAAATCAAAGTCCTGAAATAAAAGGCCATTTGCACAATGGCATCATTTTACTACTACAACCAGAATCTTCTTCGTTTTTCCATTCGCATTTAAATTTGGTAATCCCAGCGAGGTTGAAATAACAAAAGTGTATAATTTGCACAAGAAAGGAAAAACCCGACGGATTCTGGTCGTAGTAGTAAAATGACGCCATTGTGCAAATGGCCGATTGTAGAAACGATATGGAAGCTAAACCTCAGTCTATAAAGGAGCTGCCTCTCTCCCAATGAGAGTTTTCCCATTCAGTGCACCCTGTTTTAGCCAGAAGGGTGTCCAGCTGCCCATGGACACCCATTTTCGGAAGAAATACAAGGAAAATACACTTAATCTCTTATAGTTTTATGGGAAAACATGCCTTCTGGACGGCCAGTTTTCACTGTCTATGTTAAAGTGTCACCTCTATAAAGCAGCCATCAAGCACTTGACCGACTAAGTTTGGCACCCGGTTCATGATGAACCCTGATTGAGTGGCCTTCTCCATTAAGCAGCCACTCCCCAAACGCCAGGAATTAATGGCCACTTAAAGGGGGTTTAACTGTTACTATTTTGACATTGTTCTATTAAATACAGTGTACACTTTGAACAGATTACAAAATTTAGGGCTTCTAATAGGTTGTGAAAAAAAAAAGTCCAAAAAAGGTTACTTCCACAAAAACAAGGGGAGTCATAGAAGATTTGAGGTTACTAAGCGACTAGCATAATAGTGCACTTCTCAGAAAAACTGTTCTTGGTTAATTAACTTAGATTGAGGAGGGTGTTAAGGTTCCATCTTGGGACTGGTTTTCTTACTATTAATTTTAATTACAGCACCTTTTCTCATTTGGCAACCTTTTTTTAAAATAATTTTAACTCCTCCATTGGCAAAAATAAAAATAATAAATAAACCAAATAAATACACTGTACTAATAAGCTTAACTAACCAAAACATTTCTCTTTAGATCCAAGCACCAGTTATCAAGCAAAGCTTCCATTCTTGCTAGGTCAGCATCTATTACAGGTGAAGCTAGTGCAGGAGGAGTGCCTGGGGATTCCTCAGGTGAAAGGGATGATAAAGACTTCTCTTCAACATCTGGAGTCTTAGCTGCAGTTGCTGTAGAACTTGATTCTAGCATTGTGTACAAGTTAGACCAACAAACATTTCAATCATTTTTTTTAACCTAACATTATTACAGGGTAATCCACATCCACTCCTCTTTGCTATACTGTGCATGGATCCATCAAAAGCCCCCCACCCCAACCCAGCAGTCCTATGGTTGAGGTAAGTTGACTTTTTCTCCTAAGGAAAAAAAAGTACAAACACAGTCCCCACCTCAAAAATATTCCATACAGTGTGTATCAAAGGTGCATACACAACCTCCTCAGAAAAGACTTTTGACACCTCCTCCTTGCCTCAGAAAATCTCATTCAAAGCTAGGGGGCTGTGGATATTTAAATATGGAATGGTCCATGTAAACTATTTGATATGACAATATGCCAGTATTTACCTTGGTAAAGTGCACACCCATTTACATTGTATGATATGCCCTCTAAAAGTTGAATTCATTTTGGAAAAGAAAGACAAAAGAAAGGGAAAATGGCAAAACAAAAGCTTACATTTTTTTCCCATTCACAAGATAATAAATGTAGACCATACCCATTCACTCCTTATCGTGAGATTATTGGACACATTTTTATAACAGTGTGAATATAAACCGGGGCCACATAGACAAAGTTGACTGGTGGATTACAGGAAAGTAACAATACATTCCAAGAAAGTTAGTAGTCAATTATAATTACCATGAAACAGAACAAACACCACGGATTGAATTCAACCAGTCACAACCTACAGATGTGACCTTATGAACAAGCTAAAGAAAGCCTGTGTTTGCTGAATGGTCCGATAGAATGAAAGACAGATGCGAAGAACGCAAATGATAGTTATATTTTTGACTTGAGGTCATATGTTATCGCCAAGCACAGCAATGGTAGCGAAGAACTTGCTGGTAGACCAAAAAAAATAATGGCTTGTGTCAAACAATTATGTCTCTGGGGTGTTATTTGTAAAGTTTCGATTAGAAAAACATCGTCTGGTGAAACATTTTGCTTTCTTGAAAAACATTTGCTGTTTTTACATGTACTTAAACCTGTGCTTCGAGTAACTTATTGTTTACTTACGAGCTGTTGATTGGCTTACAAACAACTTTCTTGCAATGTATTGTTATTTTCCTGTAATGCGATTGGTCAACTTTGTCAAAGTGGCCCTAGTTACAATAATTATATAGTCGCACTGTAATCTGTGGACAACACCAAAGTGCATGATGCTGCCCTTCAAATGAAACCTCAGGTTTACCTCGGTGTAAAACCTGTGAAAGTTTTCGTTGTTTTCTAGGTATTATTTTCCTTTGCCCCATTATGTTGACTTATCAGTAGCTCCTTTGTATTCATTGTTTTACATCACTCGGGAGTTTCACAGGTTTTTACACCGAGGATGAGCTGTTAACCTCTTTCACCGAACATTTTTCAAGATGGCACTTATTTCAAAAATAAATTTGAACTTGAAAGAATCTTTTCTGTTGGCCTCTATAAGGGTGTGCGTCGTTAATTTCCGCTGTTAACATTAATTTACCG